TCATCTTCGTCGTTTTCGTCGTCCTCGCAGTCCTCGTCGTCGTCGTTCTCGTCGTCCTCGTCGTTACCCAAAGACAAAAATAAAACATGAATGAGAAGAAGAGAGAGCGTCCAGCTGCTTGCTCGCAAAAGGCTCAAGATACTATACAATGAGGTGCTCGCACGAAAGGAGAGGAAAGTAAAAGAGTACATATAGGTAACGCTTACGCTATACATCGCATATCCCTTTTGTCCGTTTGCGCGAGCGGCAGCACACGCCAAAGTGGCCCTTTTTCTTCTGAGCAACGAGATATCTGAAGCCAGAAGCTGCGGGTACCAAAAGGAAACATTCATTCGCTCCTTATACCTCGTAAAAGCGCAAAGAGACGGTGAGTGGAAGAAAGACGGATAGAGAGGGGAGTGAGGTATAAAATGCCGCAGATTCCCCTCCCATAGTTATGCACGTGCGTGTAGGTACATGTCATCGGGTAACCGACATATACTGTCTCCTCCTAGTCAGACTTTCGATCGGCTACTGTAGCATTTGGACGCCTCTTCGCCTTTGCTTCATCTCGACACTTGTGCAACCTTATCGCTCCCAACGATATTATATATGATTTCATCGCTAAGCAACGGCATCGCTAGTTATTTACGTTCCTCTGTTTGCCCAACCCTTGTTGACTTATCGCTTTGAAAATGTCATGAGTATAGATTACAAATCAGATGATCGACTGTTTTATAGCCTTATCCGACATCTCATGTGAGTTTTTAAAATTAGAATTAAACTGCAAAAGTACTTCTTACGTATGAATGAGAATGATTTGAAACATAAACGTTATTTCCGACTTCAATTCAACACATTTACAAAAGAAATCTAATTTTTTTTTTTAATTTGTAAAATCCATTATAGCGTATTTATTTTAGTTCGAACAGCAATATATTTCATTGCACGATCATAATTAACTGTTTTAGAAATCTAGTTTAACCATTTATCGAATTATTATTAAAATTCTTTCTTCGTTTAGATTGCGATATAACATTTTAGAATAATTTGTCGTAAATGAAATTAATGAATATAGATTCAAATTAGAAATATATATAAAATTCAATACTATTAAAGACTAATTTTATTGTGATAGTTACGGAAGTTGATTTTAAAATATTAAATCTACATTTATTACAAATTTCTTAATACTATACGTTTTTATAAATAATTTATTCACAATTTATTTATTTGAAAAACAAAAAAATTAGTACGGTTTACAGTTTATAATTATCTTTATTCATAAAACTGTATTTCACTTTAACATTCATAGTATTTTTAATCATCTATGATATATTTTTAATTGACAGAAATTCATTTATACATCTATCGAATTGTTTATTTATGTTATAAAATTGACTTGCTGAAAAATCCGTACATTTTAAATGTTACTAGTTTTCTAAGGAATATCATAAGATGCCAGACGATATTTAATTTATACTTAGAGTTATTTACAGTATTAAATAGATAAATGCAAAGATTATTTTTCTATTAAACAAATTTTAAAATTTTGAAAATGCTGATAAATATCAGTTAATTAAGAAAACAGTAATTAATTTTTAAGCATTTACTGTTACCACTTTAATTACAAATTTGTTGAATATTTTATTGATTTTTTATTTTATAATTTACAGAAAATCTGTTAAATCGATGAAATTGTTTTATGAAAATTACATAATTATGGATGTTTGAATTTACATTTTGTAAAATAAATTTATAATCTATATTTTTAATTAAAAATAATTTATTATTAAGACTTTATATTACGAACATTAGTTTCAAAATAAATTATCCTTCATATTTACATTTAATAAAAATTTATATTACAAGAGGCTTAATAATTAAATTAATTTAAGTGATTATTTTCTTTTTATGAATTATTATAACTAACTTCTACAAACATAATAAGGATGAAATATATAAGAAAAACCATATTAATTAAATTTATTAATTAAAAACCATATTAATTGATTTAATAAAAGTCAGTTTTTATATAGCACTTAGTATAAATATAATTTAATTGTTAATGTAGGAAGAATCACAATAATGTACCATGTGCAGGTTGAAATTACTATTTACTAAGGTTCACAACGTATATGTACATTAGTACAGCAATAGTATTTAAAAATTTTCATTATTTAAAAAATGTAACCATTAGTAAATATGATTTTTTGTTATATTGATACGCTTTATTTTCTTGCTTTTTAACTCGTTGCTTTGAATAAAATATTTTATATGTGCTATATTTATTTATGTTTCTTATAAGTTAATTGACCACTATGGATTATCTATTTGATTTCATATTAAAAACTTGTAAGAAAAATTTATGCATAGATATTAAAATATGTATTTTAAATACAATTACGCCCAAGACCGCTTTAATGCAGTCAATTAGATTTGGTTAAACGATTGTTTATTCTGTAAATCTTAGGTAATTATTAATTAAGAATAAACGAATGAAATTCACATTAATTTTTTCGATTAACTTGAATGATCTAAATTAAAATAAAATAATCTAAATTGCCTAATAAAACATTTACCCAAAAGTAAGCAATTTGCTATTTATATTTGTTCTTATCAGTAAATCACAAGATGTGTCTATTAAATTTATAGTTATTAAACTTCTTATATGGAAACTTATGAAAATATAGAATTTAATCAATATCTCTATTTAAAAAGAATCCTTTATCATAATTTCAATAAATGTCACATTTTTAGCTACTAAAGTAGGAAGCGAAAAATGGCTAACGTAAGCTGTAATATCAATTTTTGTTTATATATTCTATTAAGTTTTACTATTCATATATTGACATAATAAACAAATATATTAAAATTGGAATTAAAAGCGTATGACATGATATGAAATGTGTGTGTGTGCGTGTGTAGTATCGTAATTGTAATAAAAGAATATATATTTATAAAATTTTTATCGTGGAAAACGATCATAATCACCAAAAGAATGAATAAAATAAAAATAAACATTTTTTCTGTATATTTAATAGTTGCATTATATATTTTAGTTTGAAGGACGGTTTTAATCATGCATATTAATTCAAGTAATATGCTTTTTTATATAATTTTAATTCCAATATTCTCAATAATTAATTTTAAATAAGTATAATACGATAACTTTTGTATTATATATTTTACAGTAAATAGTATATATTCGATTTAATTTGAGTGTTCACTAATTACCATTATAAATTGAAAACTATGAACATTTTTATAATTCTTTCGACTTCATTAATAAAATATTATTCGTCGTTGTTATATCATAAATTTATAAATTTTATTTTATGGCACTGATCTATCGAGTGATATTTTAATAATAAATGTGAACATGTATCAAATATATTGTAGTTATACTTCAGAATATATATTTTAAATTAATACATTATACAAGGTTATCTTTACGTAACTTTACTTATTGATCAGTTATCTACATGTAAAGATCCATAAACACAGTCGTACTGTAGTAAATGATTATATTATTTTGTTAAGTTTTTCAATGTTTAATACCAACAACCACTTTTAAAGCAGAAGGAATTCGATAAATATGTTTCTTCTTTATTTATTTTTAATATGAAATACGTTAGTTTTTATAAATAGACACCACTTTTTGAGAGTTCAAATATAAATATTTACTGATATTTACAAAAAAATATAATTTTATAAATAATTTTATGTAAAATAATCAATATTAAATTGTTCAATCTTTTGTAAATTTAATCAAATAAATCACAGTTTTTAATAAATTATTTATCCTTTCTTATTACTAATTATTATTTATTATTAAAAATGATTTACATTTTTAAACAAAATTACCTTATTTGTAAAAATTGTCTTTATTACGTTTAAGTAGAGTACTAAAAAATCAATAATTAGTAGGATTTTTTTATTAATATTTATACTTACAATTTTATCGTTTTAGTTTTTAAATTATTTATTCAAGTGTAAAAATTCGACTTTCAAAATTTTATAAAATACTAAATCAATATTCATTAGTCATAAAAATTATAAAATGAATTCTGAAAATGTTTATTAAATAAAATAAAATATTGACTTGATTTATATATAATTCAAATACACAGTTCGCTATATTTTCAATAAAATTTACTAATATAACAATATTACCGAAATTCCATTATTAAAATAAATGTTCGAAAATATTTTGACCAATGAAATTGGCAATATAAATTTTGAGATTTTAGAGAATAAATGAAAAAAAAAGGATTTGTTAAAAATAAATGTAAAATGCACACATTTCTTTTCTTTTAAAGATAAAATTTACTTCTCTAAAAATACAATCTAAAAATAATTTTTTATAATTCAACATTTTTAAAATTTGAATAAGTATAATAGTATAAAAATCTTTCTAACAACACAAAGAAATATTTATATTGATGATATTAAATACTTAAGAACTTACATTTAATAGATTTTTAATCTTTTCAATTTTTAAAATATTTTTTAAAAGGATTATAAGCGAAATTTTAATTAATCAATTATTATTAATGGACATTTACATTTTCTATACAATCCATATTCGAAATAAACAAATAAAAAAATGATTAAAAATTACAGATTAAATTTATCTTAAATGCATATAATTTGCGTTTAAACAAAATGTCTTAAAAAATTTACTATTTTTACAACTAAATTCAATTTTCAACAAATTAATAAATTGATTAAATTCTGATTGTTATAGATTCAATTTATAATTCACATGGTTCAATGAGATATTTAATATATTAATAATAATTCATTTGAATTCGTATAAATAATTTGAGTTTGAATAACAATATGCACCAAACAGTAGTTTAAAAACAGTGATCTTGTAAAAAGTATCAACACTTTTTTGTTTTTATATTTTAAAAAAATTATAGTTACTGAGGATGTACAATACACATAAATAATTAATTACCTAAAAAATGTATTAAAAAATCACGTTTTTAACGACTTGTAAACTATACATGACGACTTAAATACAATATTAACAATATTGTAGTTGTATCAATTTCTTTAGAATATAAAAAATACATCAATGAACTCCATCTCTAAAGTGCATTTCTTATTCACAATATTTATAATGTACCATATGTTTTTAATATTATATTTAAAATTATAGTTTTTGAAGGTCTTTTTGCTTCAGGTTGATTTATTGATTCGAACTAAATAACCTTTTGATGAAAGAACTCCTCGACACCTTAAATGAATTTGATAGCGAGCCACCCAATTCAATTCAGCATCAATGCCAAAATATTTTATTAAAGATTCCTCTGTTAAAATTGCTAAAACAATAGTAAGTGTAAAAAGTAAATAAATTTATTGATTAATAATATTAGATATTACGAATTAATTACTATTGAGTTTTTAATTCTAATTGTTTCAGAATATGGATTTTTTTATACTAACATGTAGTTGTTTTTATAAAAATGTTAAATATCGCTTAAATATTAACTTCTAAAAAATACTTACGACTGGGATCACTATGAGTCAATAATTGAATATCATTTTGCTTTGTGAATTCTTGAAGCATAGGTGGTACAACGCAACATGTTGCCAGATTAATTTGAATGATATTAGGTTTTACCTATAATTAAACACTTAACATTTAGCTATTTTAACAATAGACCTTCGTTAATATGTAAAGTCTAATAAATGCCTTACTTTTGCCCATTTAAATAATTGTATAAATTTTTCTGTATCAATGTCACTGACGCCAATACTAGTTAATTTTTTCATTTTATAGTATTCTTCAAGAACTGTCCATAAAGATTCTAATAACCGAAGTATATCATCAATATCATTATGTTTATTTATAACTATAATCAGAGATTCTATTGTATTAGTCTTTAATACTTCACACACTAAAATAAAAACTTATTTTATTATTTGAATTTTATTTTGAAGAATTAAGGAAGCATAATTTTTAATAGTTACCTTGATCTATAGCTTCTTTTAAAAATTTTGAATCTGTATTGGATAAAAATACTTTTACAGTGATTTTCATCTCCTTTCTATCTATATTATCAGAATTTATTTCAACACTATTATTCTAAAAATTAAAAGATTTATTTTAAAAATTATAATTATTTTTGATAAAATATAGAAATTTAAGATTCATATTATTGCTCACAATATTTGACCCATCTCCTTCGCCTTTGCTATCTTCTAAAGTTATTTTAAGGGCTTCAATTAACTAAAAAATTAATATTTTTAAATAGTTTTTCAAGTAAATATTACAAATACATTTATTAATAGTAACATATCCATAATTTATATCAAACTCATACAAATTTTACAATAATTTGATAAGAGATTTGCTTATAACTATTATTTGTAATTTTTCACAATGTTATTTATAAAATTTAATTATGCATAAAGAATAATTTTAAATGGCTGATAATCAATCTTTATATATTTCATAATAGATTATATAATATTTTTAATGTATAATATAAAATTTCCTTTAACTTCTTGAAAAACTTTCTTGTAAATATCTTTCAAGTTTTAAGGTTATTAAAGGGGTAGTCAGTTGATCATGTGTTTGAAATATCGTGTGACAACGATTTATTACAATCGTAATTATTTTAAAAAATAGTTGTAATTAATTTAAATAATTCTAAATTACTTATATTTTTAATTCTTATATTCTTGTATTCCTACATGCCCAAATGTGATAAAAAATTTTTTTTTTGCTTAAGACTATTAATAAAGTAAATTAAAAATATCTACAGAAAAATAATTTACAATATTACCTCATCTCTTGAATTAAGTCCTGCTTTTTTTTTCAACTCATTCAAAGAAAGAATATTCCCAGTACTGTATAAATACTTCTCTGACAACATATTTTTGTAAAAATTAATATTAATACTGCATTCAGTATTTCTTTATTATTACTATTTTACTTCTAATATATAGCACTATTTTACTTTGTGAACACTTTTTTTTTTTTAATCGTTATCATTCAATATTGTAAAAATAGAATCTTCGTTACTTCACACTTAAAAGAAATACCGCAGTATAATAAATTCATAAACTTCTTAACACAGCCGTTGAAAGTGATCACGCGACTTGTCAAGTCAGATTAATATTTCTCAACTTCTTAAGCATAACTCACATGCATGCAAATATGCATGCGTATGCACATGCTCATATATATACATATGCATATATTCCCTGCAAATGTAAATCTTCTTAATCAGCTGATATGCTATAATTTAAAAAATTTTATTTACTAATTGATAGTGTATCGTAAATATCGAAATAATTTTTGTTTTAATTATTAATTTGTCATTTAGTAAAATAGTGTTAAATACAGTTTAAATGTCTGTGGTATTACTTATTACGATTCTTTTAAAAACTTAAGTTTAAAAAGCCTTAAATTTTACAAGAATTGTCATTATAGAGTGTAGAAGCTGCCTAACTGCTCCAAAATGTGGTATCCTGACTTATGATTTAAGACATTATACGTTTAAATGTATGCATTTTTTCTAAAAACAATGTACACTATATAAGTATATAACAAACTTGTAGAGCATTGTTATCATAGTACTTATTATAAACTAATGTTGGAAGTAAATCGCAGGCGCACTAAAAATCTAAGCTTATTGGTTCACATATAAGTAACAACAACGCTATGACCAACACCAGATGGCTGATCTGCAATTTGTTTGTACCACAATAGCGAAATAAGCGAAAATAAGGATTATTTACTGTGATGATTGAACACACTCATTTCGTCAGTTGAAAGTAAAATCAATAATTGGCTTTAACACGCCTCAGTTTATGTTACTCATAAGAAAATTCTGAGTCAAACATATTAGTCGAGAAAGATAAACAAACAAAAAAACAAAACATACAAACATGTACAAAAAATGAGCGCAATATGAAATTATATAGTATAGATTTTATCTCTCATTTTCTGAAGAAAGCTTAGATTTAAACTTAAAATAATGAAAAATAATAAGAATTAAATTAAAAATATTATTATTTAAATGATTAGTTTAAATAACATGATAAAATTGTAGTAGGATATTTATAATGCCTGATTCGTAGAAATACTTTAATGAATCCAACGCCATGATATCCTAGAAATAATTCTAAGATATTCTATTTCATACGTGTAGATTAAAAATCGAAAATGATCAATTATTAAATTAATTATTCATAAAAAAAAATGTAGAATATGGCAAATAGTTGTATGAAATTGTACTAAAATAATAGAATTCTTAAATAATAAATTACAAAAACCAATGTGCTGCTTATTTAAATATATATAATTCTATTCAAATATGTATAACAAATACAGTTTAATAATTGCAAATTAAATTAAATTAAAACAATCAATAATTGTATACCTACTTCCTTGAATGACAAAAAGACAAAACTTAACAAGCAACGTAAATATATTTGCACGATTTCACAAAAATTAAATAACCAAAACATTAAAAATGAACATAATTGAAACATATGTAAATTTAAATAAGCCAAACATAAATTACATATCAATATTCATAAATTTATACATTTATAAACAAATATATGAAGATATTAAGAACTCGCATGGATGATCTGCTCAAAAGTAAGTAAAATTTCAAATGAGTATAAAAGTATTGAAAAAATATTAATCCACAACTTCTCGAGCAACAATTTATCTGGTAAATCAAAGCAATCGCATCATTCCATAAATCTATTTACAAATTCGTCAGAATTTAAATTATTAATAAAATTATCTCTTGTTGGGTTAGCCATGATATCGAAATAAAATGCAATTTCTAATTGACTAAGAAATTTCGGAACAACGCGTATTCTTGGGTTAATTATGGTAAGTTTTATTATACAATTATATTATAATAAAATTTTCATATTATTACTTTTAATTTCCAATAAATCATTATACGTATAAATATTGAAGTTAAATATTGCGTGCTTCTATGTGTATAAGTCATGCGGCTACTCAGGCTATCAATCATTAAGTACAATAGTTCGTTTACTTTTTATTAAATTCTTTTTAATAAATATGAAAATAAAATTTAACGTGACAAATTTTTGATCAAAAGGAAAGGATTCTATAAACCAGATACGCCATTAATATCTGTCAAATAAGTATAAATCTATGAAGAAATTTCTGTTGTTGCATTTATTTTCAAATAAATTTAGAAGTTGTTTAAATAGAGCTAAATAATAGCTAATTGTACAATTAAAAATTAAAAATATGTTAATAAAATTAGTAGCGAAACTTGAAAAAAATATTTTTATAATCATTTTAAATTAACTTTGATTATTAAATATTTTTAATTTGACTAATTTCACATAAATACTAAACAATAAAACAATATCGTTCTTATTCAAATATAATATTTAAATTGTACTACTTGTAAATTTGAAATGAAGTACGTATAGTAAGTATCTATACATGTGAAAATATGGCAGAAACTAAAATCAACTTGAGTAACAATGCAAGTGAAATGAAATTAAAAATCTTAGAAGAGCATCAGAAATTAATTGATCGTGCGCCATTTCATCAATTACAAATTGATAATGCTAACTGTCTTAATACCATTGAAGGTAGAGAAATTTGTGAAAAGTGTTATAAATCTCGAAAATTCTTTTGTTACTCTTGTTATTTACCTGTCATTGATAAAAAGTATATTCCACAAATTAAGGTAAATTTTAAATATATTATATATTTTACGAACTTATATATCTTATATACATTAAAACAAATCTATAATAAATAAATATAATATAACCTAAAATAAAACATTTATCCTATTGTGCTTTATAAGGATAGTTTATAATAAAAATTTTTTATTACAGTTACCTATTAAAATTGATATTATTAAGCATATTCAAGAAATTGATGGTAAAAGTACAGCAATTCATGCAGCTATCATTGCTCCAGAAGATGTCAAAATTTACACATACCCAAATTTTCCAGAATTTTCAGAAACAGAAAAGGTAAAAATGAAATATATTTAAATATTTATTTGATATATTAAAATTAGTATAACGCTAGCCTTTAGGCAGTTCTTATTTTCCCTAGCGTAACAGCATTAAATGTCAAAGATTTATTCATATTGAAAAAAGAACAAAACATTGAAACTAATACTAAAATTATAAAAAATGAATTACCAATAACCAGAGCAGTATTTATAGATAGTACTTGGCATCAAACAAAATCAATATACAAAGATCACAGATTACAAAGTTTGTAAACAAAATTTATTTTACCTTATAATGCATTAAATTTATATGAAATTGTTTAATTAGTAAAAGACATTTATTATTATATGTTAACCATAACATAATAAGATTTAATAATATTTTCATATCTTATAGATCTTCCTTGTGTTATTTTAAAGTCTCGAATATCACAGTTTTGGAGACATCAAAAAAAAAGTCCAAGGTGGTATTTAGCAACGATAGAAGCAATTCATCAATTCCTTGTTGAATTACATACGTGTGCATATGGAAAAATCGAAAATTATTCAGAAGTCGAAGGCATGTCATTAATAAGTGATGCAAAAACAATTGTAACTGAATTAGACTTGTTTCAACCTTACAATGGACAATATGATAATTTATTGTACTTTTTTAAGTACATGTATGAAAAGATACATCTTATATACGACCATGATAAATTGTGGGCTTACAAAAGGCCTTTAATTTAGTATTGTTACATAGGGAATAAATAATTTTAATAGTTGCATTTTTTATTCATTGTACAATTTTCTAATTGTAGGATAATTGTTAGATGTTTTTATATTAATTCGAAGTAAGCAAAAGGTATTTTCTCAAATGATTATAAAAAATTCTAAAGCAGGTAATTATAATTATTACAAAAAAAAATAATAATTTTCTATTGATAAAATTATGAAGTACTTTATTTTAAATTCAAATATTTAAAATTCTCAAAGAATATCAAGATCAATTTTAGTACATGGAAAAATTATTTTTAATTTCATAAAAAATATGATACAGATCAAAAAATTATCTACTATTAATAAAACTTGTAAAAAATCAGAATCCTTGTAACGTTAAAAAACGAGAAAGTTAAATATAATATTTAACATTTTACAATCAACAGTTCAAGCAAAAATTATGCCGATTATAAGTTGAAATATAAATAATAGAAATTTATTAGTTTTTATGAGAGTAAAAAATCAACTAATAAGAATTTAATCAAATTCAAATTAATGGAAAGCTATAAAGTCTGAAATAATGTTTTAAGATAATTCGATATGGTATTTATAGAATGCTTAAATATTTCACAGCCCATAGAAAAGCAACAAGAACTTGAAGGGAAAAATATTCTAAAGCCTAATGAAAGATACAAAGTAAATATATTATTTGAGAATTATATTATAACTTTATAATCTTAAAATATTTAATAACATAGGTGATTAAAGATATTTTTAGAATATAAAAATATAAAAGAAATAGAAATTTAAAAAATTGAAACAGAACACAATTTTTAAAATTAGGAATATTTATAGAACCCAAGTACAATATCTTCTACAGTATATAATAATGGCTAATGTAGAAAATAAAAGAAATCCTATAAAATCATTGTACAAAAATCTACAGGTACATCAGAAAATTATTGATTGACATATATATATATATATATATATATATATATATATATATATATATATATATATATTTGTTTATATAACTAAATAAATTTACTATTTTATAGATGACAAAAAACAATGTTCTGAATTAAGAATCTATACATTTTTTAGAAAACTATCATACAATAAAGAATTTTATAAGATTCAGTAATTATAAAAACAAAATGCAATTAAAAAAATAGAAGATATTCATTTATGCTGTTATTTTGCTTTTTTCCCAAAATTAAACAACCTAGTAAACTTCTCACTATATTTAAATATATATTTTAAAATAGTATCATAATGAAAAATTGGTACAATATTTATGCAATAATTGTACATATTCATTCTTTTAAACAAATAATTTAATAAGAACTATTTAATTGTACTTGCAATTAAATCGAAATTTTTTATCATTCTTTTTTTTTTAAAACTTATTCTTATTTACTTTTATTACTATTGTTGCTGTTGTTATTGATTTATCATCATGATACTTTATCAAAAATTTTAATATTGAGATTCATAATATAAAATAAATGTATTTTCAAAGCTTTATTTAAAATGGACTTAAAAATTTTCGGAAAAATTTCAAAATTTTAAGAAATAAATAATATAAATTAATGTGGTACTCTATAGAAACATTTATAATTTATAAACTATTTTATTATGTTTGTCCAATTAAGTATTATATAATTCATTTATTTTCAGATTATTAAATATTAATTGATACAAAAAGCATTTAGATATAACAATTATTTAAAGATATTATTTAGAAGAGTAAAGCTAATGAACTAATAGTTCCTTTTGTTTCTTCTTTATTGTTTATTTTGTTGTAAATAGTAAATAATAAATCTTGAATTAATGAATAATAAATTCTTGCCTATATAAATATGAAGTTTTATCAAACGTATGCTATTCTTAAAAATATTTCTCACATTTACGCATTTATTATTTACATAAAATTTTTCGGCTGTGCCATTATTTTTATGTTAATATTAATAACAGAAAAAAAAACATCAATAATAAACTAATATCATTGTCGTTGTCATTATAATTTGTTCAGGCTTCTTCTTAAAATCAACCGATTTGGGATTACAGCATATTTAACTTGCGTTGGAAACAGATAATTGCATAGGATACCAGAGAAAATGAATGATTATTTTTCAAATAATCGCCGTGTGGTACAAATACTACGTGCTATGTAATGGACGTACTGGTAAATGTCAGCGCCCGAATTTGTTTCAGCTACCTCCAACAGACCTCGAGTGTAACATATACAGGATAATCGAGTCAATTTGGATAATTAGGTCAATGAAGTCACTACGTATGATGACAAGAAAAGAATAGCAGTAAGTACAGTAAATGGACAACAAATCGTGATTCGTGCAAGATAATGACACGGAGATATATCAGCACTCACTTGTCTCTTCGAGCATCTCGACTCTCGAAATTTATGAATTTGTCTTCTTGAGAACTTTCCCGTCTAGATAGACTATAGCTGACAGTGAATATATAATGTAGTGGGAGCGAATTACTGTCAAGATAAAAAGTGGAGCTTTTTCTCTTCGGTTATCCAGCGATGCTCTCATATAACGTCAAACTGATTAAACAATCGAGCGCAGTAGACTGGACGATATCGTCAATAGTAACATGACGAAAAAACATTCTAAAATAAAAGTAATAACGGAGAATATAACTTGCGAAAGTTCACTGATGAGGTTATGTCGTCATTGGAATCCGTCGTCATCGTCGATGATCATTCCTCGGTTACGAGCATGTGCCAAAATAAAAATAACAATGGCAAGGAGGAGCTGGTGCATTTGTGGCGTGGCCCCGACAAGGTGTCCCTTGGATTCGAGGATAGTTTGGACGGCTTTGTCAGTAAAATTGTCAACATTGAAAATTGGGTCTTGCTCATGACAACAGCCTATAGTTTGTACCACGGCGAAATCATTACTGAAAATTACAATGATGAAAATAAATCATCATCAGCTTCATTGTCTTTTAAAAAGACTCAATTTAGTGCAATTGATATAGCAGGCAATAATAAGCATGCCTATATCGTTACCAATGATGGTCAGGTTCTGAAAATGAACCCTAAGGATCTTACAGTAGTCGATACCATTGTCCTTAAAGATGATACCAATAGGTGTAGTAATGAGTACGTTATTTTAGAATTCAAGAACACTTATTTAAATTATTTTTGTTATTAAAAAATTATACTAGAATAATAAATATATGTTAAATGAACTAGTTTTTTTGTTACTAATGCTACATATATTTTGTATATAACATTGATACTTATTTTACTATAAAAAAAATATATTTTTTATTGGATTGTATAAGAATTATATACTATCCATTAAATGAATGATAAAAATTCTTAGATAAATTTGTATCTTACAAAATACAGAGCATTAATTAATATGAAATAATAAATATAAATTAATTATTAAAAGATAAAAAGTGCATAAGCTTAATTTAATGATATAAATTAAAATTAAATAAAAATAAAAGTTAAAATTTTATGTATTTATACTTACATCTATTTAAAAATATTTTAAATATATATGTATTTTATTATTAAATTTTATTATTTTATTTTTTTATTATTATTATTATTATTAGATTATAAAAATTAATTAAAAAATCAGTAAGGAAACCATTGAAAATAACATTTTAATATTATAATTTCTGAATGGAAAATTATTCAAGTATAAATTTTTCTATAAAATTTCTATTTAAAAATTATTTTATATTTATTTAACATTACAGAATGTTGAATTTGCTAATCCATGCATGATATTTTACATTAAGTGAATTTTGTAATCAACGCTTTGTTTGTTGATGCTGCAATATGCTTTTAAAATCTAATCTTAAATTGATTTAAAGAAGTTTGTAAATATCTAAAACCTGTATTCTGTGAGTCAATAACACAAATGTGAAAATTGTGCTTTTACATAAAAAAATTGGTCATACTATGTCTTATATTAATATATTTGAAATTCCAACTGGTTTATAATTAAAACACCAATCTTGTTTAATTACTAATTTTATTTTTTGTTATTGTTTTTTAATTTTGAATCTTCATAGAATTATATAATTATAGAGTGTTCTTCTGCCAATAAAGGTTATAATTTAATTATTTAATAATATAAAAAATATAAATTAATATTAAACATTCAATACGCATGATAATTTATATACATATTTTTTATATATTATATATATTTTTTATATATATATATATATTTTATATTTATATTAAGTATTATGTATAATGATGCATTTTCAGTTATAACTGCAGTTATAATTAATTAAATGCAATTATGATTGTTTAATTAAATTTTTAAATATATGTATGTAATTTGTTATAATTTAAGTTAAGAAAATATTTATTTAACTTAAGTAACAATATAATATAATCAATAAAATGTTACAACAATATGATTATCATGAATAGCTGAAGATTTATATTATATTTTTTATTACAGATATCAAAAGGAAAGTAATATTATCAAGGTATCTGAATTAGCTGTAAATGATAACTCTGCTTTGTTTGTAACGGAAAATGGTCAATTGTGGGCAAGTGGCAATCAACCACAAATTGATATTAAATCTCAGGAACCTAAGAAAGTTTTTTTTTTTGATGGGCAAACTGTTTCAAATGTTGCATGTGGAGATAACTTTTATGTAGTTTTGTTAAAAAAAGAATCTAGAATATTAAAAGAAGATACAGATAGTGAAGAGGATGCAGAAGTTTTCAATAAATCATATTCAAAATACAATAATAATGTCATATCAAGCTCTGTAAATACTCAACAATTAAGTGCAACTCAATCTAGGAATTCAATAAGTTCTATGTCAAGTACAAATAAAGTTGTTTTTTGTAATACAGATAATGAAAACTTAGTCAGTAACACTGTTGATTCTATCGCAAATGGTAAATTATGTACAAATGAAGTTTTAGAGTCTGATAAGGACGAGAAAAAAAAGGTAATGTTATTAAACACAGAAGCTGCAAAACAATTTCTCACAAAACAATTATCTTGGGTGTCATCTTATAGTAATGCAAAAGATGAATTTCAAATGGATACAATCGATAATCCTACAAGTCTTATTAAACAGAATGTATCAAGCATGGCTAGTTTAGTTTATGAAGGTGTTAAAACAGTAGGAGACAAGGTTGTAACATTATCCAGACATGTCAGTGGTAGTTCTGATGTTAATGATATTAAAGATGATTTAAACGATACTTTTGAAGAGTTAGGCATTGAAGAATCAAAAAGAGCTGCTAGCAGTCTAATAAATAGTTTACGTTCTGAAGAACTTCCTAGATCGTCTAGTGGAGGCTCATCGGAGTATGAGTTGGAACAACAATATTTGAATGAAAAAATTAATTTATTGACTCAAGCAGGCAATAATATATTGTCTACTGAATTATGGACATGGGGTGACGTAAAATACGGACAACTCGGCGTTGGAGATATGATTAATAGACCGAGACCTCGTGAAATCACAATGCTCAATCATTCTGCAATAAAGAAAGTAACATGCGGAAGTTTTCACACCCTTGCTCTTACATTAGATGGCAAAGTTTATGCATGGGGCAGAAACAATTTTATGCAAGTTGCACATTGTTTGCAAGTGGATCAAAAATCACCACAACTATTTTCTTCAAATTTTTTTATACAATTATCACCTAATGAAAAAGCTAAAGACATTGGGACTGGCTGTGATCATAGTTTGATAATGATGCATAGTAAATTATTTTTAATGGGAAAACACAGGTAGGCATTTGAATAATTTTTGTAAATAATTAATACAATAGTATTTGTCTTAATTTTGAGAAATTAATATAAATTGTATAATTTTTTTTGTTAATATTGATAGTATATTGATATATTGATAATATTGATAACAATTTCATTACAGTGATTAAATTATATCTTAATTATATAAATTATATTATTTATAGACTAATGATTAGATTATTATATCTATATTGTTTTAGATCTTCTGGAGTAATGTCAACTTTAGAAATTCCTGAAGCAAAGGATTATGTACTTAAAAATATTTTTTGTTCCAATAATCTAAGCTGCTGTACAATAAATGATGAATTAATTAAACCAATATCAGAAATACTAACAGAAGAACAAATATTTTTAGATGAGACCCTATATATTTATAAAAACTTAATAATTCCATTTCAGAAAAAGGGTTTTATCGCTTCCGAGTTAAATGTTTATGAAACTATGTGTCGTTATCATAACGAACTTTTGAGCATTAATGTATTAAATGTTGAAAGCATATGGGAATATTATAATTGTACAAATAAATTATATGACATTGTAATTATTAAGAATGTCAATGAATTCATAAGCATATATAAGTTTTATTTTAATATAATATGTGATATAATTGCTCTCAATGGATTTGTACAAATTGCTAAGCTTATTGATGTGGTAAAAGTACTTTCAAATTTTTTTAAAAACAAGATAAAAAATAAAGATACAAATGTTACTAATGAGGCTATTATTGAATTTGTCTTAAAAAATCCTTTGCAACATTTGAGCAGGTAAATTACTTTTCTAATATATATACAATAAAAAAACTGAAAAGTATAGTGTTTATATGTTCTTAAATTATATTTTATCAAAATTAATTATATTAAAATTTGAATATAAATATTTTAAAATAAGTATACAAAACAAGTTTCAAACTTTACATATTGTATATCCTTTAAAGAATTTTTATAAAGCAGTAATATTCAAAGTAATTAAATGAAAAATTTTAATACTTTTATTTATCATAAATTTTAAGAATTTTAATGATTACTAATGTTAAATAAAGTAAAAGAAAATATCAAAAAACTATTGAAATACATAGATAAAGTTTTATACAAATGAAACTTCATTATTAAAAAAAATGTGTTTATTTAATAACTATGAAATTTAAATGAAAATTAAAAAAATTCAATATAAAATTTATTATAAAAGTATAATTTTTTTTAATTAATACTAATTTCTTTTAAGATAGATATTTTGTTAATTCTTTTTTACATATAAAATACTTAATATTATGTTTAATTATAATTATAATATTAATAAAAACATTAATTTTTTAACTGCTAAGAATATTCGATTTAAAAAATAAATGAATAAATATTTTGTGTAATATAAAAAATGATTGGGTCAAAATATTCTATTAATTTATTTTAATATATTATTTGTGATATTAATACAATTTTTCATTTAGATATTAAATTCCAATTATAATTTTTTACTAATAACAATTATACATATACTAACATTAATTATTAGTTTAATAATATTTTGTATTACAGGTATATAAATATAATAAAAAATCTAATAAAATTAAACAAACATAATGAAAGAAATGAACAATTACAAGAAGTCTTAAAAAAATGGGAAGCAGTTCCTAAAGAACAGCGGAGACGTTTAGAAGAAGCTGAAAATACAAAAAAATTTTGGGAGGGATCTGGAAAAATTGTAGAGCAATTTAGATTACCTGAAAGAAGGATGATTAGAGAATCTCGATCACATCAGATTTCTCTATTTAATTCTAGTATATTTTCATCACATTGGTTTATTCTATTAACTGATGTATTTATTCATATTACTGGGACATCTTATGCAGCATATCTTTTACAATTATTGTGGGTTGAGCTGTTACCAGACTCGGATGCATTACAAGTATGTTTTCTTTATTACCAGCAATGTTAACTTTTCTTTATTAATTTGAATTGTATCATCTATGTACAAAATGTGATTATTATCAAATTTTAAAAATACTTTTTTAATATAACTGATTTAAACATGTATATATTTTAGAATGCTATATCAATTACAACACCAGAAGCTAATTTAATTTTATACACTGCATCACCTGCTGATCGTAGTGAATGGTTTCACGCTTTACAAATTGCTATTAAAAATAGTCTTCAGAGGTCTACCAGTCATATGCCTTCGCAAATTCGCACTGGTTCTTTTTCTTTTATAAAACATTCCACTTACAAAGATGCAATATACAATGGTACTAAAATATATTGAAATAGTTCGTATTTTAAAATAAGCTATTCAAATTTACATTGACAAAAATGATTTAAAATATAAAAAACAATTTAGCTTTATAATTAAATTAAATGGCTTTGAGACTTTGAATAATTTACAAATATTTATATTTATAAATATTAATTTTATAGGACAATGGTTAAATGGTAAATTACATGGTTCTGGGAAATTAGAATGGGCTGATAATCGTATGTATGTTGGACAATTTCACAAAGGTGCGATACATGGAACTGGACGAATGGAAATGCCATTACAAGGTGTCTACGAAGGTCAATGGAAAGATGGTCAACAAAATGGCTATGGCATTATGAAGTAAATTTACATTGACAGAATATCAATAAAAATTATAAAATTATTATATAATAGGCTAAAAAATAATTTATATTTTGGATGAATAAAATAATATCGCTTTATTTTTATAAATTTAATTTGATGAATTAAAATTTTAGTTATATAAATGGCGATATATATGAAGGATACTTTAAGGATGGCCTACCACACGGACACGGAATGAAGAAGGATGGTCATTTTATGGCTTCTGTTGCTTCTGTATACATTGGCGAATGGTTTTGTGGTGTTAAACAAGGTTATGGTGTTATGGATGATATAAAAACAGGTTATATTTCTATACTTGAAATATTCATTACTTATTTTATTATTATTATTATTATTATTATTATCGTTAATGTTATCATTACAGTTATTTCAAATTTATACGAAAAATAAAATGAATATTTGAATTATTTTTAGGTGAAAAATACTTAGGATCTTGGAACAACAACATGAAACATGGTAGTGGATTAATCGTTACATTGGATGGAATATATTATGAAGGAATGTTTGTTCAAGATGTTTTTACGGTATTAAATTGAATTGAATGAGACATTTATCATTACTATTATAATTTTCTGATTATTATAATTATAGGGTCATGGGATTATGGTTCTAGAAGATGGAACTCATTATGAAGGCGATTTCAAATCTGTTGGTGTTTTCGGTGGAAAAGGAATTTTGACTTTTTACAATGAAGAAAAATTAGAAGGGAATTTTAGTGGTACATGGAACGAGGAAATTAAAGTTACAGCTATTCTACATATAAATAATAAAATATCTGAAAAATCTCAACTAGCAGAACCACCGTAAGTTTTTTAATTATAAATATCGTATTAATTAATTTGTTAAAATAGTAATGCCAAATGTGCTAATGTATTAGACTAAATATTCTTAAACTGAGTAATCTTTATTAAATAAATACTTTCTATTATGATTAATATAAAATTGACTGCATTTAATGATTATTTTTCTATAAGTAATTTCTATCACAATTATTAAAGTGTACATTATTTTTTTTTACGGGTTAAAATATTAGATCTTTCGGCAAACTTTGTACTTTACCCGATCAGAAGTGGAAAGCAATATTTCGCCAGTTTTATCAGCAGCTAGGCATACCGGAATCGATACTTAGTGCCAATTCCAAAAGCATCTCTGTGCATCAGCTCGAAACTCAAAAAGTGTGGCAGCACGTAGCCGTGATAATGTCTAAATCTGAGAGATTGCAACGAAAAACCCATTATTTTAGTAGCAGCAATACTTCTCTTTTAAGTCGCCGAGACAGTACAGACACAAATCACGATCAGTTAAACAAGATCTTAAGCTTCGATGACAACAAATTGACCTTGTACGCATACGAGCAAATCCATAAATACTTGTTGCGCGCCTTCGACAGCCCTCATCATCCTCTCGGTACTTTACTAAATGAATTAGCTACCGTATACACAGCTACATACGGTGGCGTGAGAGTACATCCTCTGTTGTTGAAACATGCGGTCGTAGAGTTGAGAAGTATCACCACAAGAATATATGAAGCAATCACATTATTTTTCCCAGCATTGCCCAAAGCCACAGATCAGTGCATACTCAAATCCAATAGTGACGATAATAAGGAAGAGTAAGTATTTTTTAACTAGTGTGAACATTTTTATTGGAAGCCTAGAGAAACTAACACTCATTCCAATGATGAATAAAACCTCATGTTCAATGTAGCTTATATTTCTAATGGTATTATTATCCAGTTTTTACTAAATTCTAAAATTTATCTAATAATTTTATAAATTATTATACCCAAAGGCAATAAATGTGAAATAGTGACAAATACACAATTTTTATTAGAAAAATTTAATTCCTTAATTATTTTTTACACAAATATTATCACAAATTACTGTCATTTATTAACAGTGAATTAAAGTTTGTTTTTTAATAAAATATTGATAAAAAGTTCAAGGATCATTGTATTTTCTATTTCGAAATATTTAAAAATTAATAAAAATTCTGTTTTCTTTTCAAGAGATATAACTAAGTAATGAAAAATATCACAAACATTGTTCTACATACATTCTATATTTTTATAATGAATACAACAATCAAAAAAGAACGAAATATCTTAAACAAAATATTGAAAAATGTATTTATTAATATTATAAAATTAATAAGCTTGATGTAAATTTTGTAATTATGAAATGATTATGACCATTTTTACTTTATTTTTTATTAGTTTTTTACTATGGAATTAGTGAACATTTATATATAATTTAAAACTTTCTTCAAATATATGAAACTATGGGCTATGAAAATTTAATACTCACATTAATATTATCACATAATAAATATTATTGTTACGTTTTATATTTATTCGTAATTACAGAACTTTTTCAAAACTATATTTTAAATTGCAAACAAATTTTTATAGTTAAAAATTTTGATATCTATTACAGAAAAGTAATAAGTGCAACAGCGATACTTCATCCTATCATATTGCCTCGAGTTTACTCTGCATTATTTGTATTGTATGCCCTTCACAATAAAAAAATGGATGATGCTTACTGGGAACGTTTAATTAAATGGAACAAGCAGCCAACTAATACGTTATTAGCTTTTTTGGGCATTGACCAGTGAGTTTTATTTTTACTTTCATGATTTATCTTCTTTTTCATATAATCGATTTTTCTCTAGGAAATTTTGGACAAATTTTAATACATCAGCAAATGACATATTGTTTAATGAAGCAATTGAAACATTACAACAATTAAAAACAACATTTTCGGCGGTAGAAAAATTAATAGTTATTAGAAACACGCATTATCAAATTGAGCAGGTATGTTACTTAATTTTGATAGATCTAATGATATTAATAATTGAAATAATTTTTTAAGTAGCTTTAAAATTTCTTATAGGCTATACAAAAAAGATTAGAAAATTACAAATTACCTGCAGATGAATTAATACCAATATTTTATTTCGTTGTTGTTCGAGCAAGTGTTTTACAACTTGGAAGTGAAATAAATTTCATTTCAGATTTTATGGAAAGTTATCTAATGAATGGACAAATTGGATACTCTTTCACAACAATCATGGTATATATTCCCCTTCTTTTTAATTTAAATAGTTCAATTTATACAATAATCTGTTTAATAAGTTTTATTTTTCTATTTTTAGGGTATCTATAATCATATATTAAAAGAAAAAATAACAATGGACGATTAGATAGTTTAAATATCTTTTTATCTGTTTGGCACAGAGAATTAAAAAATTCTCGTTTCACTTTGCTGTCACGTGACGAAATAATACTCATTCACTGTAAAAACGGGTTGGATGCATATGTGAGGAAAAGTGCCAATTGCAGAAAACTAAAATATACAAATTTTTTGTTTGTTTTTGAATGTATATTTTAAGCCTTTTACGTATTTATATTTATATAAATGGTTAAAATATGTATGTATATATTAAAAATGTTAAAGTAATATAGTTCATTAATGAAATTATTTTTGTCAAGTTTTTTAAAAAAATGTCGTAAAAACATTACGCGACATATCAAATATTAACAAAATATTCCATAAAGAAAATTTTTGCATTTATTGTTAATAAAATAATCCTGTTTTTTTTTGTGTAACAATTTCAAAATATAAAAAATCAATAAATCCGTATGTATGCTATATAATGCGTGTATGTATGTATATATATATATATATATATATATTACATATATGACATATATATGAAATAATAATTAACCAATTTTATCTCGATCTAGTTTTTTATTTATCAAAAAACTTGGTATACTAAAAAGGTCAGGAACAATGTATTTCCATGAATAAATATTTATTCGCACATATTACTTGTCTACATCATTCAGAATGTACACATTAGTTAACAGTTTTTTTAAAGATATAAAAACATAGCAAATGCTTAAATATCTGATATCCGACTCTCTCATATTCGTTCACAATGATTCTGGACCTAGCTTACAATACAAAAAGATTTCGAGGAATTTTCAATACTGAATACAGCAATCCCAACTTGTACGTAATATTTTGCGAACGTAAGGAGATCAACATTCTTTGATTCGGTAATCATCAATCTTTATCATTTTAGTAGTTCACTTTCTATTCTTTATTTTGTCATTCGATTGAACACAACAGTTGCACAATCTCAGTACATTCAACGTTTTAAATTAATGTTAATCTCGCTATGAAATACTTTCAAATAAATTGTAACTTGTAAAAAATTCTAAATCCATAGCGGACATAAAAAATCTTGAAAAATTAACTATTTCCTCACAGACTTGTGAAGTTTAAGAAAAAAGCGATATACGTGCTTTTTGTTTATATAAATTTTTACTAATTATTCTAAACTGTCAAAAAAGAAATGATATTATATTATATTATTTCAGATAATATGTGCAAAATTTTTATCTACTGTTTGACCAATACGTAAACTATATAAGCGATGTACAATTAAATCGGAAGCATCGACTCTTCGGAGCTGATCGAGTATAGCTTTACAGATGACAATTATCTATCTAACTACCTAACTATATATTTGACAAAACAAAAAACGATTATGCACACATTTTAAATAAATTATTTAACTACCCGGTTCTGTGCGAGATAATTTTTTCAAAATCTCCTTTCACTTCTATTGTTTCTTTCTTACTGACAAGTATAGTTTATATAAGTACCAGGAAGAAAAGCAAGCAAAATAAAAATAAAAAAAAAATAAAAACAAAGAAACATAAAGCTGTATAAATAGAAATATTAGCATATATTACCCTGATCAGTAACGTTATTTTTATCTCTCTATTTTCTCATCTATATGTACGACCACTTTATGTAAGACTGAAGTCTTTCGTTAAAAATAATTATTTACAGATACTATACTATTTGAGAGACTACTGAACAAAAAATTTGAATAGCCTGACTTTGAATTTCAAATAATACTTGATAAGGAATTAATATAATAAAATACATAATGCACTAATCGTATTAAATTGGCATGTTTTTATTAATAAAGTATAAAACGATCTGGTTTTTTTCCATGATCTCAAAAAGAAAGTAACAATAAAACAACTGCAGTTGCCTTCAATGTGAGGAAGTGTACATCTCACAAGTTTTTATAAATTTATTTTAAGATTTACAGGATTTTTAGAAGGGTGATCGATTCACGAGTGTATGTTCAATCGGGAAATTTGGTCTTTATTTCCAAAAATATTCTCCCCCATTCGAGTGGCGCCTAGAGATGCCTGGAAATACAAACACAAAGAAACCGTGAAAACTTTTTTATTTTTTGCACGTGATCATAATTTTATTTTTCATATATATTTTACGCCTAAAGTATAAATAGATCGACAGAGTAAAAGAAAGAGAGAGAGATACAAATACCGTTTTCGTTATTTCTCACATTAATAAATTTATAAATAATTAGCATTGTGGTTTGTCAATTCAGTGGCATCGATTGATTAGAAAAGCATTTATTTTGGAATGAAAGAAAAGGAGATTTCAATATAAATGGTTATCGGACAGATTTTATTAAATTGTTTATAACAAGAAAATAAAATTGAGATAGGGTTGTATCCAAAGGGATGCATAATATACAAAATTCGTTTAATAATCTAGACTCTTGAAGTATATCTCCTTCGTGAGCGTTTATGATTAAAATAGCCTTTCCAATAGCCAACTAAACCTCTGCTTAGACAAACGTATCGCAGTCTTGGTGATAAAAACATTGAAAAGAAGCTATTACTATTATAATGTATATATCGAAAATCGGTGTGCGAATTTCTTGTAGCTTCATACGTTAGATTAAAAGAAGGAATCAAAAAAAGCGAAAGGAGAATTATCACCTTCCAAAAATAGGTAATCATAATTACAGTGAGCGTGAAAAGATCGATCATTATCAAATAAATGAAATTCATTCCCTAAACCGGTAGCTGCAGCTTTCGCGGGCCGCCGAGTACAACTCGGGTCACGCGCAGCACACCTGCGCGTTTTACAAACGCCTTGGTCGCTTTGTAAAGATTCTAGCCAGTGTTTACTAATTTTAATTAATTAATAATAATAGTAATTAATAGTAATAATAATTATAATATTTGGAGTAGTTATTTCGGTAGTCGTGATAATAACGGTTGTAATACAACAGGTAAGCTACTTATTTTTACCTATCGTAGTCTACTGTTATAAAACGAAATCAATTCAGAGAACCGTTGGAATTTTTATCCATGGTAAAGTCGCGCTTTTACACAAGCGATTATGATTTTCACGAACTCACTCAGTATTATTATAACTCGCACACCATGAAAGATCGGCTGAGAGCTCCGTATTTTCACTTACTTTTATTTTCTTTTTTATTATAATGAATTTAAGCCAAATGTCGGGGACTTAGATCAAATCGGCGACGTTCATTGGCATTTCCTCAATAGTAGTATTATAAAACTGCTCGATATCTTTCAGTGTTCTTTTATCTTCTGATGTCACAAAATTGATAGCAACACCTTTACGACCAAAACGCCCACCACGTCCAATTCTATAAAATAAATAATCATAAAATATTCATTTTTAAAAATTAAACACAAATTTTTACATTTTTAAGAGTAATCAATTTTTCATAAAAAAATTTTTCATATATTGCATAAAATTAATTTACAATTGTGAGTCCAATTTTTAATATAAATTATTAATTTGAAATTAGCATATAATCATTCATTATCAATCAACCACATTTAGCCATACAAAAAACAAATACCTTCCAAAATAATTTCATTGAAAAATTTTGTTCACTCAGTTGCGTAATGTTTGTTCATTGTTTAATTTGTATTTTGAAAGAATAAAATCTTTAAAAATTAAAAGTTTTGTTTGACGTGTTTCTTTTAACTATATTACTTTTTTTTAATGCGACTGTAAGACCTGATCCACACATGATTTTCAAACATTTTATATTCAAAATGAAATTAGTGTTAAATAATAAATCTATATAAAAAATGCAAAGTATTAATTTTTTATTTACTTTGCTTATTTAATATCTTCAAAGATGAATGATATTGCTAAGTAATAAATATAAGTATGCTTATATTTAATAAATATAATAATATTAATAAATATAATAATATAGTTTTTTTATTATAAAATTAAATAATTAATAAAGATAAAACTATTTTTAAGAGTTTCAATGTTTATTTAGAATATATCCACTAATTAAGTCATTTAAAATTAATATTTTTTGTAATTTTTTAATTCTTTACAAATCAATATCTGTAACTATAATGAAAAATATTTTTAATATGAACTTACCGATGAATATAATTTTCACGATTAGAAGGCAGATCAAAATTAATGACCAAAGAAACTTGCTGAACATCAATACCACGAGCGAGAAGATCAGTAGTAATCAGTACTCGTGAAGATCCTGTACGGAACTGTCTCATAATAAGATCGCGCTCACGTTGCTCCATATCACCGTGCATAGCCGAGACAGTGAAATCACGGAATTGCATGCTTTTCGTAAGCCAATCGACTTTACGCCGAGTATTACAGAAAATAACGGCTTGTGTGATACTAAGAGTATCATACAAGTCGCACAGAGTTTCCAACTTCCACTCCTCGCGTTCAACATAGACAAAGAATTGCTTAATTCCCTCAAGAGTTAGTTCCTCTTTCTTAACCAAAATTCTAACGGGATCACGCATAAAGCACTTTGATACCTCTAATACATCACTCGGCATAGTAGCCGATAATAAAATCACCTAAAAATAATACATTATTACTTATACGTGATATATGAATCCTATAAAATAATTAGTGATAAATATTGATTTTTTAAAGTATTGAGAAACTTAAGCGATAATCGTAACCAAAAAATACCTTAAAAAAAAAAAATAAAGCCTAAAAATTGATGGTAGCTAAAATATTTTTAATTTATATATTTCTTCTAATTAGTGGTCAATATTATTTCAATAAATTTATTTGAAATTATAATAGACGATCAAAGCTCTTATTGGAGTAATTATTATAATTCAATTTTTCTTGATCTACAAGATACTAAATATATTAGATTGGAAATCGTTCATTTATAAAAGAAGTTTGTTTTAACTACATGAAATGCACATCAGCATTAACAAAAACTAAAGATTCTATAAAAAAATTCTGCAATGTTTCTTAAATAAATTGGTTCTAAAAAATTTACCATAAATTTATAAACCATTGTAATTTATATAATTTAATATGTAGTTATATTTTTATAAATTCTCAAAATGTATTATTTACTTTTTTATGTAAAAAATACTTTTGAATTTTAAACAAGACATGTGTAAATATTTTTGCGTTGATTTAAAAATGTTTAACAATAAAATGTGCAAAAATTCATGCATTTAAATTTAGACATTTAATAATTTGCTCTAATGATTTTTCATTAATTCTTACCTGAACCTCTTGAGGTAATAGCCTGAAGACGTCATAAATTTGATCCTTGAACCCACGAGATAACATCTCATCGGCTTCATCAAGAACAAACAGTTTGATACTGCTTGCTCGTAATGCTCGTCGACTTATCATGTCATATACCCTTCCAGGGGTACCAACAACTACATGAACTCCTTGGTCTAACTTGCGCATATCCTCACGGACATTCGTTCCACCAATGCATGCGTGACATTGTGCACGCATGAAATCACCAAGAGCAATAACTACTTTTTGAATCTGAAAGCATTTATTTATAAATTTACTTTTAATTAATTATCTAAAACTAATATTATTATAAATTAATGTTGGAAAGATTGTACCTTTTAATGAATTAAAAAAAAAATGTTTAAATTTAATATGTCAAATCACATCAAAACGTTATTGAAAATGTTTTAAATTAAAAAAATTACCTGTTGAGCTAATTCACGAGTTGGTGCAAGAATCAAAGCTTGACATTCATTAATAGAAGTATCAATCTTCTGAAGAATAGAAATGGAGAATGTTGCAGTTTTTCCTGTACCTATAATTAAGAAACAAAATCGTTGTTCAAAATACGGTTTACTCTCGTACATAAATAGCAGCTGAATTATGATATTTATTTGAATATATAAATATATATGTATTTTTGATAAATAATTATTAAAAATAAAGGATCGATGCTCACTTAAAATTATTAATTATAAAATACGGATTATTACCTGATTGTGCTTGGGCAATAACATCATGCCCTTTTACACAGGGGAGTATAGCACGTTGTTGGATAGCAGATGGTTTTTCAAAACCATAGGCATAAATACCACGAAGTAATTCTTCTTTCAAATTCATATCATCGAAGTTATCCACAACCTGCAAAAATCATATATTACATATTTCTTAGTTAACAATAATATGTAATTTTACAAGTAGATAAAACAGCAGGTATGAACTTACAACTTCCCAGTTGGACTCGATAATGCCGTCGGGGTCCATACCCGGGGGTCCCGCATACACAGGTTGTTCACCTTCAGTTGGACCATTTTTAGACTCGCCCGGCCATTGATCGTCATTCCTATAAAATCAAGAAAAATCAGTTATGGATCTATTGATCATGCATATCTATAATCGTTCGCTCACTCGTTCGTTCGTTCGTTCGTTCGTTCGTTCGTTCTCTCTCTCTCTCTTTCTCTCTTATAATTTCTCACGCACACATAGCTCAAACACAACTCGTGTTGTTACATATAAAACGTGGGTATGCAGACGAAAATAGAGACAAAATATTGGCCTTCGAACTTCAGTTATATCCAAGTTGATACTAGAAATGTTTTTATGATACATTTCATGGTCAAGCGTCTTTATAACGAACGAAGATAAAACAGATGTTACAGCACCACACCATTTAATTGTATAAGGGAATACTACACAATACGGTTAATAAAGCACGAGAATATATTATTCGCGCTCTTGTTAGTAACTGCAAACCATATATCTATAGATTACAAAACCAATTACTGATCAGTAAAAAGTACGCGTTCAATCGTAGGTCGAAATAATACAGAAATTATGTGTATTTGAGAATTTATATTTTCAATTAATGTATTTTTGGTTTTAAAAATGCGAACGAATTAGGGCGTTGATCATTCCCATTCAAGTTCTCATTATGAAATTCTTATCGTCATAATGATAGTACAACACATCTTTTCTAATCATTGGATATTATAAATCAATTTCACAAGCACGATACACTTGACATAATTATAAATTCAAAATACAACTGATCGGAAATTCGGTCGATGACGATATTAATCTTAAGTTTCCCATACATATGCGATTATAGAAAAGCGTCCTACAAAAATCCCAGAAAAACCAAGACATTATTAGTGATATTATATTAAAAGTCGAATACTACAACAGCAGTAGCAGTAGCAGTGGCATTAGCAATAGCAATAGCACCAGCAGCAAAAGCAGCAGCACGAGTGTCTAAAAAATTCATGTCACCGTGACAATGATAAAAGTTATTCTCTCGCTCTTTGCGGCAAGGAAAATTCTCGAAGGTAATTTTCAAAGATTGAAGTTAAGATGGAAACGAGTTAGAAAACCAAGCAGATTAATGGCAGTAATCCAATTATAATAGCAACAACAACAATAATAACATATGCGTCACAAAACACAAAATAAAACTCGCACGGATTTACGTTTTATCCTCCATGTTTCAGTCTCTCTGCGTGTCTGTCTTTCCCTGTCCCTCTCTCTCTCTCGTGTCCTCGTAAGCGGCGGCGGCGGGGCCGTGGTGCGTTCGAAACCTTTTCAGCGGCAATGGAAGAACCAGCAAGCTCGTGTGGTGCGGCAGCAACTGTTATATGTACCTTTCTCTCTCTCTCTCTCTTTTTATCTATCTGTCGCTCGCTCGCTAGCTCGGTGGCTTGCTTGTTTGCTCTCTCTCTCTCGCTCTCTCTCTCTCTTTCTCACTTACGAGCGTTCACTTTCGCACGTGTACGTCTGAATGCTTAGCACCGTACTCTCTTTCTTTCTTTCTTTCTTTCTTTCTTTCTCTCTCTCTCTCTCTCTCTCTCTTTCCGTTTGATCACCACACGCACCTTAGCACATGTACAAACACACGCGGATGATATGGAATAATTACGCTGCTCAACTGAAATGGGAAATGATATTGTGGCGAAAAGCGGGAATACTCATACCGTGGATAAAAGACGAGTGCGATAAACGAATCGAGCGCTCAAAAGAATGGAAACAGCACGCGGTATATAGCGTTTCTCTAAGTAGTAAAATCACGTGACGAACGGCGTCGAGCGACGAGCGACGAGCGACGACGACGACGACGACGACGACGACGACGACGACGATGACGACGGCGGCGGCGACGGCAAGACGCAGCGACGAACTGAGAAAGAAGGTGGAAGAGGGTGGAGAGACAGCGGAGAAGGAGGTCCCGATGAGTTCACTTCCGAATAAAGAGCGTCATTGGTGGTTGGCTTGTGCGCGCGCGTGCGTCCATCGTCCGTCCGTTCGTCCATTCGTCGATCGTCCATGCGTACACATGTACGTACATGCGTCGTGCACGGCGCAACCTTTATGGCTCTACTTCTCTTGGTCATCCCTACTCTCTTCCACGCCGTCGACACAACCCTCTCGTAGGCACGTTACCCGGTGGCCGTGTCTAGTCAGTTAAGCGGCCTATAAGTTTGAAAAATTAACCAAGCGCTTAGCAAAGTGACATGGACGGTAAACCTATAGCATGCAAAGTTCCAACTCCCTCTTTTTCTCTCTACGTACCCCCTTTTCTTCAGATGTACCGTTCCCAGCACTATTAGAACGAAAAGGAAGATGTAAAGGTACGGTTGAGCCGCGTCATGCCACGAGAGCAATAGCACCGATTTACGCTTGGAATAATATTTGAATGAGTTTTACCAAAATGTTAACACGTGTAAATTACCCTTTTCACAAATGACTACAAATTATTATAACTAACATATAAATATTCCGTAGTTAAAAGAATTTTGACAGCACGCAAAGTTCTAGCTTTTCTTTTTGATTCCACATAGAAATTCTAAAGACAAAAGGAGAGCGGCGTTATAAGAATGATTAAAATACGAACGGCCCAGATAAGAAGCAATCAAAGTTTGCTTATACCGCGAAACGAGCATGTCGACACGTACCGTAGGTCTTGCTATGAAAAAAAGAATCCAACACGATTAAAGACGATATTCTCGAGCGTGATCCAATCGTGAATTTTCATGAATGCCCGTTCGAGACAGACACCTGTTTGTTTCAGACCGCCACGAAAAATGTGACTTCGTCGATGGCAAGAGCTCCGAGTTGGAAAGGAAAACGAGAGGCCGCTCTCGTAAAGGTTTAGCCAGCAAGGGAATGTCGAGCTCTCCAAGGCCATCATTCTCGTCGGGAAATGCGAATCGTGGCTGTCGCACCTACGCAACCGTGTAATAATGTCGGCAAACGGGAGGAAGGGAGAGGGAGCATAATACATGCGACGCATCGTAGCGCCTCGACGAAGGCCAACGGGAATCGCGTACGAGAATATGGCGGCGACACCTTCGATGCTGAAATGAAATGGGTGTAGGAGAGGACTCGGATATCACTCCCTAGCCTTTTCACTTTTACCCCCGTCAAGCTCGATATGCAAAAGCGCTGCGCGTGGGCCATCATCGGGGCGCTCGTTTTTCTTCGTTTACTTTTCCTTTCACCTACAGCCCATATTTTCGGCGGACGCCGACCACGAGCGTAATTCTTAACCAAGCCTAATTATAAAATACCGCCCACCAGTACCTATATTCGTGCATCTGCTCGACACGTTTATTGAAAATTGTGCCGTTATGTAAGTACTGTCTGTCACCGTCTCCGTATAGCCATTCATTCGAGGACGATGCGAACCTCGCAACGCAAAATAAGGGAACTAAAGAACGTAGCCGACCGCTTCGCGGGGGATGAATTGTCACGTACGTACGTACGATGAAATTGATATGAGCTCGGCGCCATATTATCACCACTTACGTTGGCGTCCGTAATCGAGTGCGAACCGAAAAATTCGCGCAATCTCGAAGAGATGGAAACAGAGCTCGGACAATTGTCAAAAATCTTCCGTATTTACACCGACTAACAATGGCGTTTATTGGCCAATGCTTTAGCGCGATATTCGAGTGATTCTGTAGGGTGAAACTCCTCCGTAACCTCCAATTAAAATATTTCAACACTTTCTTTTTGTTTTTTCATGAAATTAAAATTTTTAACAAAATCAACTCTTGAATTTTTTATTTGTAATACAATCATTACATAATGCAAGATAGAAATATCTATAGATCATGAAAAATTGTTAAAACTGCATATAGTTTGTTAAATTTGAGATGAAATTAATTTACTAAGAGAAATTTCATTGTTCAAACTTAAGTAATTGTGATATTAATTACTCGCACGAATTTTTATTATATTTTACATTATTGACTATCTCGTATTTGAAGATATTTTTATTTTTTTTTTTTTTTTTAACTAATCAAAAATCATTAAATATATGTATACATTAATTTTTCAAATGTAAAATTAAACCCAAGGCGCGCTAAAGTGTTAACCAATCAAGGCACAGTTCGACACGAACGCTAGAATCTCGACGAAAGGTAAATGTGCCAATGTATGCATGAGTAATGCATGTGCACTCCTCCCAGCGTAGTTAAATATTACAATATGGCTTCCAAATGGTATTTTTATAAGTAATGCGATTGAAAATTTTTCCTATGTAAAGCTGTGATCGGAAAACTCAACTATTGAGATTTTTTAATCGAGACAACTTCAATTCTGCAGTTAACTAGCATATAACATAAATATCCTTTACAAATTGTGACAGATGAGGGACATTTAATTGAAATTTGTTTATTCTGTTTATTCATATATAATAACGAAAACAATGGAAACGATTATATATTCGAATTTAATCATTAAATAATTAACAGTAAAAATTATTACTAGCTTTCAAAAGGTCCATTAAATATTAAACTCAATTTAAAATCCATTTTCCATATAAGGTTTTCTTTCTTCGACAATCTTACATTATCTTTACTTATTGTCTAAGAGATTTATAAATAGTACTTTTACAAAATAATTACATGTAAAATTTAAACCAGCTAGCTTAACTTATTTGAAAAATAGCGATTTCTTAATTTGCTCAATTTTATACAAGTAATCGTTTGCTAGCTAATAAAATTTAAAAATATCTGCATTATATAAATTATTAAATATTACACTTTGTATGTTAAAATAATAATATATGAATAATGTCAGATTTGAGTATTACTTCTGAACATTCTTCTCAAGATATACTTAAATCATTGAAATATTAAACACAGAATGTTAATTATATTGATAACTTTTAACAAGATCTATATTAATATAGATTAGTAATCTTATTTTTCCAATAAAGCAATAATGGCTTTATATTTTATTTATTACAAAACTTTCATAATAAGAGTGTTCTCTTTAACAATTAATTTTTCTAATGTTTTACACGTCTTTAAACCGACAAGCCAAAATTCTCATTAATTCTTTTATGGATTGACGCTAAGAAGTATTTTTCTTTTTATTCTTTTACTTGACAGCAGTTTTGGTATCATTTAAAATTATTATCTTTATTTTTAATGCCGGTTGCCCAATAATCCAGAGCATTACGCACGCATCGAGCGTATAGCTAAATATTGTAAACAAAATTCCTAACCTTCAAGGTATAAAAATAATTCGTCGAGCAGCATTACCGCTTAACTTGAAGTTGTCCCTTGCCGCGCGCTACATCACGATATATATATTGAAATTACATACGTAATATAACATATGTTTATTAAAGCCTATTGCATTGCAACGCCGTATAATCTAGGGGAGTGCCATCCGGCGGCGGCCATATCCAAATTTATTTTTTCTAAACGCTAGCTTCGCGTCTGCTCGAATGCTTGAAAGCCTCCGGTTCGTTAGCGTACGATTAAAGTGAGGTTATATTGAGAAAGCGGTGGCGCTGTTGCTATCCCATTGCTCAATCGTGCACGAGTCTGGAGCGAAGGGAGGAAGCCCGCCGACAATATAATCGAGGATCCGGGCACGTGGTGATGTCAAAGGGCCCGGTGAGAAGGACGAGACGGTATAGGAGGAGTCGCGGATTCGCGACGTGGTTCAAACAATCGGTATACCCGAGCCGAAAGGCACACGCGGCCATGTTGTGATAGGCTACCGCAGCTCGCTGCTGCGTCGTGATGCACACTTGGCCGCACGGCACCCGCTGGCTTTCAATAACTTTCCGCAACGTCGAGTCGAGCCCGCGGAGGTCGCTAATATTTCAGCGACTACGCGTCGTTAGGCCGCATGCAATGCTCCCGGAATGGACGGTGGAATAACGCGGGAAAGCTCGAGAAAAGTCCAACACTTACCTTCGTTCACCAGTAGACGACATGTTCCGCTCACAGTAGCGCGACGAAAAGGACGAGTTCCTATTGCGTCACAGCGAGCGCTTCTCGGAACGCCACAAGGGGGCGCTCGTGCGACCGGGAAGATGAACGTCTGGTGCTGCCCTCCGGGGCAATTCGCTTCGTTTCGGTTGTTGGGAATTTTTACGTCGGCGATGTTGGAGCTCCAATGGACTTTGACAGGCGGCAAATGTTTTTAAAAAACCAACAAAGGCCGTATGCTCCTTGCTTTAAGTTTCAAAGTCCAGCGGAGCAAAGCCGTTGGGTTTGATAACTGCCGCCTAGTCACCAGTAAGTCCGAATTTAAATATGTCGTTTGGCGGGAGATTCGATATTTCCGTTTGAACTGCTTTTCCCGATTTATATTATAATTATCCAATACACGAAGTGGACAGACGGAGAATTCGATATTAAGGATCTTGATTTTATAAAATTTAAAATATTCGTTACGCGTTTAACATGGCGTTTGCACGATCGGAATAAGTCAAAAGCGCTCTTCACCGCATTCCGACTTTACTTAGTAATAAAGGAGGTTATAATGAACTTACTAAACTGCTTAGCAAGACAAATACTCAATGAATACTGTGCTGCGTATTAGATTTTACTAAAGGATTAATGGGTTAATACCTGATGTATGTAGCTTAAATCCTTAATATCCGTATGACTGGAAAATATTTTTCAACTATTACTGTTAGGTAAAATGAATGAACTATTTATTACATGCAAATAAAGTAAAATAAGTGTCAAAGTATTTCTCAATCCTATTTTAAAAGTACAAAATGTAAAAACTTTTCAACTATATAAAGATATATAACAAGCATGTAATAATTAATTAATAATGATTTTATATCTTTTGAATGAGAATACAGATATTAAACGAAAATTAATTATGTAATCAATTTTTATTCAAAGTAGTAAGAAATTATATTATTCGCGCAATTATATTATACGTACAGTTAATATTCAATTCTCGTGACGAAGTTTTAAATAATATCAAATAAAAGAAAGCTATTTTATTATATTAAATTGAATAAAGTTCTAATATTATAATGGCCATAAATTGATTATTTATTAAATTTACATAGATTTGTACTCAAATGTTTACCGATTTCTATATTTATGGACTTGGAATTGTAGCTGTTGCTTCTAAAGTATATAATTTTTTATCTAGATAATATATATATTTAATGTCCAGCCTGGAAAGCGGATTAAATAATTATATTTTCCAATTTGTATTTTCCAATTTCCGTTTACTAGCATAATACTCGAAGATAGGTAATTTAATTGAAAATGTGAAGGGCACCAAGTACCACGACTTGAAACGCATGGCTAAACGTCAATTTTCTTACGCGCTATTACATTCGGCAACTTAATAAAAGATGCTAAAATTTTTGCATATAATTTTTAAATGTTTTAATTATAAATAAATTAGAATTCAAGTTTCTTTTTGAGGTTTGTTTATCACTAAACTGACACTTTTACGTTTTGTTTGGAAAGTTTAAGAGTTGACGATTTTATTTAAAAACAAATGACGACTTCTTATTAACATGCTAATTCTTACAGAAATAATACGTCTCTGAAGTTTTAATAAATTCTATTTTCAAAACATTTTGGTGATAAATAATAAACTTTAATGATTCATTGGGTATTTATTTATTCTATAAAAAATATTTATAAGAATTTGAATTATAATTGTTTCATTAACGATCTAGTGTCTTATAAAAATGTTCTCCATAAAAAATAGTGGTTGTATACAATACAAATTATCTACAATAATTATAAAGATATTTTTAAATTAATAAACACATAATTTTAATTGTTTTGTACAATGAAAATTTTGCTTATAAAGCAAATGTTGTTTCTTAGATGAAATTTCAATAATGATACTGACTATTTACATAAAAGCACAACCAAGTATAAAAAACAATACTGCAATTGGAAAAATAGCATAAATGCCCATTCGGGGAACACAGGTTGATACAAGAACTGAAATATCATCTATTTCATGATCAATTCCGTCTTTGGTAGGTACTTCAACAATAACTCTATCAACAGAAGTTATGGATAAGGGAAAGTTACATTCTGTTTGATTTAAACAAGCATTTGTTACATTTTCATATTGCAAAGTTGGCTTATAAATTTCAAAAACAGCATGAATATCATTTGAAACAATATCATTATCACTATAGAATATATAGTAATAATATCCATCTTCTGCCACTTCATGAATAGTTTGCATATGTTTATTCCCGTTTAATAAGTAAGTTACGTTAACACATTCACTTGATGGATCAAATTCATGTGTCAATAAAACATTTCCTCCATAACAATGTAGCAAACCATTTTCAAAACTTGAAGCTGACGAATCACCATCTAGCAAATTTTTTACAGCATTCCCACCATGTTTAATACCTCGATCCAATATTTCTGGCTTTATAGGTTGTTGACTTCGTTTCTGTCTAATTTTGAAACTATCTATATCTTGCTCTTCTCCATAATTATTCTCTTCTATTTCACCATTTTCATGATCCAAACCTAATTCTTCTTCTAATAATCTTACACGTCTTTCATACCTTTTATTAAGTTCTTTACCTTTTATATCTTTTCTATTTTTTTCTCTATATGTTTCTAATATTATATAACTTCGAACATCATCATTTTCGTCATCATTCTTCTTAATATATTCATCATTTAATGAGTGTAATTTTCTTATTCTTTCTTTCAAATGCCTTGATTTATTAAAATTTGTCTTGTCTAAATTAGAATTTATATCTCTATTTAAATCTTTGTATGCTGGACTAGAAAGAAACTCTAATTTTCTTTCATTATTTAATATATTGTGTAATTCCTGTATGTTTAGATGGTTAGTCAACTTTCCATTAAAAGGTTCAATTACATTAGTAAGATTTCTTTCTTGTACATTAGATTCCTTATTAGTACAATTTAAGCAGTTGTTTTCTGTAGCTTCTGCTTTTGTCATTGAAATAAACTCTTTAGAATTAACTTCTTGAGCATTCGATTCAAAAGTTATTTTAACCTTAATGCATACACTTTTCAGTTAATACTATATAATATTAATTATATCAAATATTTATAATAACTAAAAAAAATTATACCTGCTGATCAGCTTCTGGTAAAAAGATTCCTGTAGCCTTAGCTTTATTTTTATTATGATCTAACATACCGCAAGTTCTTAGATTTCTTTCACCTTTCACAACAAGAATAGATGATCCCTTGAATCTTTAAAAATATATTTAATCACCAATATATGCAAGAATTATCTTCAATATATTTTACATACCTTGAACAAACAGATAAAGCAACAGTTGCTCCTTTTAATAAGTAAAATCCCCAATATTCCAAAGTATCATCTGGCAATGTCATACTTTTTTTCAGTCTTATGTGTTTTCGATACGCAGCTTTTTCAGGTCTTCGAGAAACTTGAAATGCATGAAAAGTCTCATTCATTTTTAATGTATGTGCCTATAATAGCATAATACAACTCTTATTAATATAATTGGTACAATATATAAAAAATAAATTATAATTTCAAAGATCAAATTCTATAAATTCAATATTATTTAATATTATGGTATGATACAAAGAGATGTTTGTATTATTTGTATGCTGTTAATGTTTAATGTTAATGTATGAAACACGAACAAATTCCAATTTGACATCTAAACTACAATGCTTTAGAAATTTAAAAATTTATAAAAGTAAAATTTATTAATAAAAATTAAGAAATTTCATATCATACTGAACAAAATATTGGTGAAATGCCATCTGTAATCTCTACAATATCAGATTCTGTCACTGCAAATTGTACATCTGCATAAATACTGTGTCTTAAGTATAAAGGAACTATTAATAACATAGTCGGAAGCACTGTAATCAGTGTGCAAAAAATGACTATTCTTTTAATGCCATGCATTTTTTCAATACCTGAAGACAATGTAAATAAAATTATCTTAATGTTATATAAATTATACCTATTATAATTAAAAATATAAATTTCATTAAACAAATATTTACAAATATGTCGAATTTTTGTTTAAATACATTATGAATACCCTTTGATATCACAGTTGGTAATTTTAACATAATAATTTTTAAATAAATGGATAAAAAATTGAAAGTATTATTTTCTTCTGTATTTTTTCAGAATTCATTATTCAAAAATAATTACCATTTGAAAAATTGATAATGTATCATTATAAATCCTATGTTATTTGTTAATATTTTTATTTTGAAGATATTATAAGAAAATTTATAATTAAGTTTTGAATATTTTAATAAAAATTACTTTGTTAAGTTTAGCGTATTAAATCTTTTATCATTTTTGTATAGAAATAAAATGAACAGGTTATGAACTCACTTCATAGAAAAATAAATTATACTTGCGATTTTTACATACAGTGTCTTGATTCATTATTCAACTTGATTCGTTTGTCGCTAATTATCCTCAGGGCGATTTGAATATGTTGCATATACAACATTCATGCAATTTAGAAGGTCGCTCTTTATTTCTATGCAAGCGGTACATAAATTAAGTATCTTTAAAAAATTATTCTTCATAAATGTCCACGACATTTCATACAGCTGTACATACTACGTTTTTTATGAATGACACTATTGGTGCTTCTTTATTTTAAACAGTACTTTATTTTATTGCTTTTAATACTTGAGAATCGTATATAAATATCACAAACTCACATCTATACGAGTTTTTCTATGAACGCACCTAACTTCAATGATTAATGTTTGTTAATCATTCTATATATTCTATATTCTATATTATATTCTATCATATATCATTCTATATATTTAATGTCATTACCATCTATTAATTTTTTCTTGTTTTCTTTTCAGAATTTATATGTTTAATAATATATAATTAATAACTATAAATATAAAATATAATTATAATTATAAATTTTGCGATAAATAATGAATATACTAATGTGTTTATATACATGTACTGATGATGAATAATTAAATTTTAATGTCACAGTAGAGTATAATATACTTTGTTTTCTACACAATAATTAAATCAATGATAAATTTTACAATAAAAAAAATTGATAAAAAATTATATTCAATTAAATATTTTCTATACTAGTAGTAATATAATGTGTAATATAACAATCTGAAATATTTTGAACGTGTATATTATACCTGAGCAGCCGTGTACAAAATAAAATAAAATATTGAATATAAAACTCTTGTGATGACATGAAGCCGGAATTTAAGGTATTTATTGTGTATTGTCCTACAGATTAATTGTAGGCCAATACAATAATGAAGAATGCAACCAATGCAATGTTATGATACAATAGTTTATTTCGTTAATTATTTTTTCATTGTTTCAACCTTTTGTATGCTGACATACATGTCAACCTGTCAATGATTCAACTTGGAAATATATTTCAATAATGTGATATGAAATTCGTCTACATTATAAACGACGATTGTAAAAATTTCCAAATTCATTTTTAACCATTATAATTTTTATTCAACAAATATATTTAATAAAAAAGAACGATATGATTTTTATGAAAAAAAATGACATTAAAAAATTAATGTATTCAACATTAATAATACTATGTTGCCGGGTTTCAATTGAACACCATAAAATTAATTATAATCACATTTAATATCAAGAAAATGTTAAAGATTTTCTTCATAGAATATTAAAAATTTTAATTAATCATTCACTTAAATGGTTTCGGTTAATTTACAAATTTCCAAAAATTTATAAATTATTTATTAAATGATTGATCAAACTTTTAGATTTTTTAATAATTATCAATTTCTAACGAAAGATAATACACTGAAATACAGCTTACATAATTTATTTTTACGGTATATAATATTTAAGAATTGATCAACGCTTTGAAAAATTGAAAATCGTGATAAACAATTACAACAAATATAGTAACAAAATCGGTAAATTGTTCTAAGTACAATGTAAATATTATAAGCATTATATTAATTTCTGACTACATAAGTTTAATAATTAAATTATTAATTTTTTCAGAATTCATATCGTAGGAAAAAGCTATTATAAAATTTTATAGAATCTCCTATGTATTATTGTATATATATTGTCCTAATAAAGAATAATGGATGGTATTGTAGGAATTCAATCTTTTGATAGTATGTTGCGACTAGACTAGGCAAAAATTTTTTATTCACTATAATCTATTATTGATATAACTACAATATTATTTACTTTGCTGTACAGTAATTTGAATTTATTTTCGTCAATTCTAAATTAATTGTTTACCACACTTCTTTATTTTTATAAAATAAAATTTTCAAATCAAGTTTCAGCAAAAATGTATGTAATAATATATGTAATAGTGTAATATTATTTTATTTAAAGCGTAAAATTTAAATCGTAAAGTTACAATTTGAGCTATATTGAATCCATATCGTAGTACTGTTAACATATTAAATATTTTTTTTGTTTTCAAGTACAATGTTCTCATCTTTCAATGTGAACAATCAAATTGACAGATACTTTTAATATTTCACATAGCTATTCTAATGTCCTGACTATGCGATTTGCTTTGCTATAATGCGTAAGTTCAGGATAACATTCTATTGAAAGATTTATTTCAGATAATTAATATTTTTACATTTTCAAAAAAAACTTATAATCATAAAATCCACTAAAAAATAATTAACTTCAATCGACAGAATCTTGTATAGATAGATTTATTTTATTTATTTTTCATTCAATCAGTTGAAATAAAAATTCATTATTCCATTTAATAATTTAATCTGATTAAAAGGAATTACTTTTTCAATTGAAGATAAAATGTTACAATTCTAATTTTATGAAATATCTTTCAATAATTTCAACTACTAATAGATCAATATTAATATATACCAAATTATTTGTATTTTTATGACTTAAGGTATTTTAATTACTAACCACTCTTTTATTTTTTTCACACGATTATATTTTAATCGTTTTTTTTTTTTAAATTTCATTATTCATATTATTAATATGATTTCAATTTTAGATTAAAAATATTATAATAAAATTAAAATTATTATTCATAAATCTTCATTTATAGTAATATTTTAAAATTAATTTAAACACTGCAAAAATTTATTTTAATTTTATAATATTTTCATGTATAATATGATATGATTGAATCTGAAAAAAATATTCAGACTATTATAAAGCAGTAATTGACATAATATCATATATTTTACTATATCATTTATGAAATATATTTCGAGTGCTTTATTAATTTTTTAACTTTCAAAAGTATTAAAAATTATTTTGCCTTGTTAATATGATAATGTTTTTATTTATTTCTTACACTGCTTAAACATTTTTTCTATAAAATTTATCTTTCATTCCATCTTTAGATGCATTTTTTATTCAAATTTAAATGAATATCGTAAGAAACGTGATTAATTTATATATTTTTCTTTATTATAATAATGTTATATTTATTATACACAAGTACCCATCGTATTATTTAGAATATTCTTAATGTCGTTCTTCTTAAAATGTGCTGGGATGATGAAAAATTGAGTTGCAATTAACTGTGCAAGTTCATACATGTCAATTACAAGAATGACAGATGGCCCAGGTATATTCGAATATATAGTACTTCAATAGAAGAAATGAATAATGGTAAGTTATCTGAAAATATCTTCATATGCACTCTAAATATTTTCTAATTTGTATTAGAAAATATAATTTTTTTTATTAAAATAAATATAAACATCTTTCTGCTTAACTATATAGTGCATTATATAGTTATATAGTAATGCATAATGTAGTAACAGCTCGATTATTCCATGAAATCATAATTTATAAATTTACATTATTTTATTCATTAATTCAACAGTTTTTAAATATAAGCTACAATATTTGTGATATATTTAGATTTTTTTTCAAATATTCTCAACTCATTTAACTTTCCTTCTTATATTTCTGGGTTTAATTCATTTAAGTTATTGCATTTTGCAAAATAGTATGTTTTTAATTTCTGTTTCATTAGATTTTTCTATTATTGTTCACATCCTTCTATTCCAACATTATATTTTCAATAATATATGTCACTTGTTTCAAATGTCTTATAAATCAGACCCTGCAAACTTACACTATTTAACAATATATTACTTACATTTAAAGTATTGTTTGAAATATGAGATATTCGAACAATACACTGCACCGTTATTGATGCATTTCTCATTGTGATCGTTAGTAGCCTTTATCTCTCTGAAAATAGTAACTAATGTTTTTCTAAATATTTTTGATTCATATTTCTAAAAACAATATTGAATCATACACTTTCAACTTGAATCGTAAAATGATAGACTACGAAGCAATTGTTACTATTTCCTATTATTATGATATATTTATTATGCCCAACGGTCAATATTATTCGATCGTCGGATTACTAAAAGACCAATCGTCCATCATTGAGTAATCGCGAATGTTTATGGTTTATATTTTAATCACTTATTCATTAAATATGACGTGTTACCGTATTTACTTTATTAAAAAACTATTTAAGTTTTCGCTGCAGCGAGAGTTGCTTTTAATTTTATTGAACGGTTACAAGGAGGCGAGTATTTTCAACTAGCATTCAACAAAATTTCTTTTCCTTTATTTGAGTATATACATTGTTAACTTAGATAGATCCATACATATATTTTTAATAATGTCATTTAATAATATATATTTAAAAATATTTTTAAAAATACACGCGCACTGCATCTATATAATTATTAATATCATAAATATCAAGCTTAAAATACCAATAGATTATAAAAAAATATTTATATTAAAATTAATAAAATTAATGTCTATGAAAATGCTATAATAATTCATAAGGTTTTAAAATTGTTATATTTTAATTTATATTGAAATAACAGCAATTAATAAAACGAAATAATTTGCATAAAGAAAAATAATAAAAATATTTTATAAATAGTTATTCGAAAGACATTGAATAAATAAACCAAAAATTAAAAACTATAAAAATTATCCAGATACAAAACATTAATATTTCTAAAAATTAAAAAAAAATTTACTGTAATTTAATGTTAACTATGTTATTTTTACAATGTTATATATAAAGAAGAAGCGGAATAATTTGAACTAAAGTAACACCAATATATTAAAAACGAATTATAAATCATTAAACTTATTTTTGAATATGAAGAAGTGGAACAAATAAATAAATAACATTATATTATAAAATATGGAATACAATTTTCACTTGATATATAAAATAATAGTGAACTCAATAACATATCTCAATATCAAAATGTATCAAACTATCTCTCCTAAATCAAATGTATCAAATCTAAATACAATCCATGCATATTACAATTATTTATAAATATTTTAAATTAAGTATTTAATTGATATCTATTTTTTAAATTATTTAAATCTTTTTATACAATAAATATTGTAAAACATTTTGATAGTAATTGAAGAACATGATAACTGCTTATGATAAGTAAATATTAAATTCAATATCATGTACAATTGAAAGACTGAAAACAAAAGATATACTACTTTACTGGTCAGAAAAACAAAAGACTTTCCAATTTGTAATCAATTGTCTATTGATTTCTTTACCAATATCTATACACTTTATACTTGAATCGTTATATCACAGTGAATGGGTAAAATAAAATACTGATACTGCAAACGTATTCAATAATTAATATGATTTTATAAATAATTCAAATAAATAAAATACAAATTAATAAGTAAATAAAATGTATAAATGAAAATATTCTGCAAATATAAAATATTTGTTATTCTATATTATTATAGGAATACGTAGAAAGTGAGTTTTTATTAAACATTAAGGTAAGTATGTTAATAACTATGAATCAAACGTACATAAGAAGTAATATAGTAATATTAAATATACATGAAAAGTAAATAAGAAAATAATTAGAGTTATTTGTAGCAGAGAAAAAACATTACTTTTTAAGTCTTAAATAATGTATTATTTCTGAAAAATATCAATATTATTACATTTTAAGTATTAATGGCTTAAAGATTCACTATTAAGAATTCATCTACAATAAAATATTCAATTGAAATACAAACTAAATAATACAACACTGAAAATCTACATTTGTAATATATTTAATATCAAAGGTTATTGCTAGTATATAATATTTTATTACATATAAAAAAAATTGTCTATTCACAATTAAGTTTCATTTGTAGTCATGTAGAATTGCAGTGCAATGCTACCTTAAAATTTTGAAAATTTTTGAAATGTATTATAAATTAATGATAGATTAATTATAGAAGAAAATTTTTGTTTAACCTCATTCTTGAAATTATAATTTAATTTAATTTTTTGTTATGATTATTATTGATAAAAATTATTCTTTAAAAATTAAATAATAATATTATTAATAAACCTTAATTTATATAAATCTATCATACAATTTTAATTTTTCATAAAACTTTCCAAAATTTGACATTTTTATATCAAAAATAACTGAGAATCAGATATAGTTGAAAATATAATAAAGTAGTAAAAAAGGAACAAATAATCAAACTCATATGTTGTATTTGGCGAAAAACAACTCGTTATTGTCTTAATGAGATTCGTTACTTCTACTTTTACTTTCATTTACTGTCATGCAAAAGAATTGAAATTTGAAGGAAAATATTGTGCGTTATCTTAAAATAAAAGTAGACAGGGAGTTTTCGTGGACAACAGTTTTATGGAAAACATTGCAAAATAAATGTATAGCCAAATAACGACATTTGGAATTAGAAAAATAATTAAAAGTAAAAAATATAAACGGAATTATTACATTATTCATACGTATTATTTGCATTGAACGCAGGCATTGAAAATTCAATGTCTATAATGAAAAAAATTGAATTTTATATTATAAAACAAATTTTTTTCATTAGCATTCCGAAGCTTTTTACGTATTTATTATATAAAGCTATAATAGTATTATTATATATAATAGTAATATTAAAATCTTTAAATTATATAGCCTTTTTGAGTCAATTTATTTATTAATTGAAATAGTTTAAGCTAAACTTAATTATTAAATAACTTACTAAAAATAAATATAAAAAAAATTAATCTTTATAATACTACGTGAACAAATTTCTATTATTCGTTAATATATACAATTAAAATATTAAATCAATGGTTTAATATAACAATCAGATTTTCATCTTATTTATTCATAAATACTTTATTGCGCATTCATAAAAATAATGAGCATGAAGATACAAAATTATTTTTCATATATTTGTCATGTTCATTTTTTGTATCAGTATACTACTTTTGCAAAGAATTAATTTGAACTACAAGTATAATGTGTTAATGAAATCTAGCTTAAAGAATGTTTAATTAATTTATCTCGAAAATTTTATTTTTTCACAGTAAGAAATTTTGTGATATTAATTATAATTAATGCTATGCTTTATATATGTATTATTAAAATAAATTTTTAATATCTTGCTTTTTAGGAAAGAAGCTTCATTTTTCGTTTATTTATTTTAATAAATATGTAATAAGATTAATAACAAATAAGTTTCATTTTTATTATTAGTGAATTAACTTAATATGTTGCAGTCATGTGCGTTTAATTTTGACATTCAATTTATAAAAATTATTGACATATTCTCACATCTAAGGGGAAGATAAATATTATGTTAATCAAAAGTTTTTTATATTTTTTTAAGTTATTGTTTCATCAAATAAAATGACATGATGTAATTAATACTTATCGTATCTTAAATTATTTTACGTTTCATTATTATGTGTCTTAATGAACATTATTATATATTAATATTACTTTATTAAATGAATTACATACTTTGAAAATATATTCTATGAAACAAATATGTAAAAAAGTTTTGTTTATTTTATAATTTAATAAAATATTTTCTAGTATTTAAGGATAGTATAATATTTATATCCCATCAAATAATAATAATATATAATATTTATTTTCAGTTTATTCTACACATTTCTATTTTTACTTGACATAATTTTCAATTCTTAATAAAATACTTCACAATACATTTTTAATATAAGGTATTTTTATAAACATTATTGTATATACTTTTTAAATATTAATATTACATTAAATGGAATTTTCAATGATTAGTTGGAAAGTAAAAAATTTTAAATAATAAGTAACATTAAACAAATATAGTAATATAAAAATGAACTTACGGTGTAAATAGTCCAGGGAATGGTATTTGTAAGAGTGGTAATAACCTAGATTATTGGAATCTATCTTCTTTCTTTCATCAGACATTTTAATTCTTTTTTTTTAACTCTGTGATACGAAAAAAATACAATGATAAAAATTAATCTTTTTAATGACAATTTAAGGATATACGATAAGATTGTACAATTACGAGGAATAATAATAAGTAGCACTTTTTTAAAGTTGGCATTTAAGAAGAAATGTCGGTTCGATCAGAATCGTTTTTACTCTTGTTATACGGATGGTATTATCTCTGTTACAAAGTTGCGATTACGAAAATGTCGGCCCTGAAGAGGCACATATATCATTAAATACGCCAGAAAACGTAAGCTTATCTTTCCCATTAGTATAACTAGTTTTTTATTATTACTCGTATTTCACTTTTTTTTCCTTTCTTTCCTTTATAATAATCGTAAAAATTATAATAGCCCTAATGTTATCGTTATTGAACCATTATATTTCGTATTTTCATTAAATATTCATTAAATGAGTGATTACTATAATTACATTTCTTCTTTTTATTATTATTAGAAAACTTATTAAATTTTTCTAAACTGTGTGATTTAAAAATGAATAACTGTAAATTTAATTTAATTGAGTGAAGTTTAAAGATTGTAAAAAGTATATTAAAGAAAGTTAGATGAACATATATTAATATTCACTTTACTTAGGCTACAATTTTATTCAGATAACAGAAATGATTTTAAGTGAAGACTTGCTTTATATCAGATATAAAATAAACAAAGTTTAGTAAGCAAAAGGTATTTGTATAAAGAATGTCTTATCAAATCGCTTTTTCATTCATGATAGTGAAATAATTATATTTCTATTTATAAAACCAACATCACAAATTAAATTTTTTTAATATTATTAAAATAATATTGAGTGATTATTAAAAATATTCAAATTTAATTATTTATTATAGTTTTTATAAATATAGAATAAATATATATACATTGGAATGTATATAATGGTTTTAAATAATACAATACAATAGTAAATCAATATAATTATTAATATAATACTCAAAATCTTATTTAATTTATATCTCAATAATTTATTTATATTTCAACAGATATTCAACTATTTATTAAATTGATTTCTGCTGTTGCTTTATAATAACCACCTTCAGTCTTGGTATGAATTTGGGAAAGATGAATAGTTGATAAATTTATTTGGCCTAAATAAGTATCCTCATGATTCTAAAAGCAAGTTAATTTAAATATTAAAATAATTTATATTTTCTTAAAATTAATAGATATTTAAAAAATTTACCTTTAAAATATTAGTCGCATCAAACGATAATATTGTTTTATCATTCGACTCCTGTGACCTAAGATGTATATATCTAACATTCATCAGTGTCATATGCATCTTAACTTTATTAAATTTTGTTGTTGCTACTCCTAAAAAATTATAAATTCTTTTCATTGATAAGAATACATTTATGTCGTGAATTGTGTTACCTTGATCAATGAAATATTCAGCAATTTTATCCAATAATTCTTGCAAATAACCTTCTTCATTATGAATGGAACAATATAAAACCCTAGCCTTACTTGAATTCTGGTTCATGCATTTTAAACCTTTAAATACAATTGTTATGGGTCCACTTTTATCTAAAAATGGCCTAGAATGATTCAATTGAAGTAAAATTATATCATATATTAATTAAATTATTTAAATTATTTCATGTATCCTCACTTAATAACATCTTTATGACAAGCTTCAAAAACATCTATAGCTTTTTTACGTTCTATTTCATCTAGTAAAATTAATGTAACTATAGTAACATGTAATTTATTAGGAATTTGAAAAATATTTTCTACAATTCCTTCATCATTAGCATAATTATTTAAAATATTATCTTTAAATTTTGTAAACTGATCAACAATATTTTCACTATTTGTTGGTATTCCAAGAAAATGAGTAGGTTGCATTTTACTTCTTGCATTTTCTATTATGCAATTAATTTGATATCTAGCTGTTATAATATTTTTTTTATTCTCTCCAATAATAACTATAATAATTAAAAAAAATATATATATATATTTATATATTGTAATATACTAAAAAAAAAAAAAAAAAAAAACACACACACACACACAATTTCTAGTATATAGATAAAATGTCAACAATATTACTTGTAAATTATAGAAATATAATATTTACCTATACTGCCTTCTTGACCCAATTTAGGCACATTAATTTTAGTATTTGTACTTAATTTTATTCTTTTCAATGTAGCACCTTTAGCTCCAATAATCATACCATATAAATTACTGTAAAACATTGATCATATATAATAAAAATTGACTTAAATAGATAAAATCATTTGAGCTTAACACACCTATTCACTTGAAAACTGTGCTTATAAAGACTTCCTTTATATGGAGTAATTTCAATAGATTCATCTTCAAATTCTAAATTATTTAATTCATATGGATCGTATACTTCCTCTGTATATGGTGCAATTTCATCATTATCAGTTACATATGTATTATCACAAACTCTATAACATCTATTTTCTATCCAAGCTAATGTAGGATTTGATATATCCATGACAATATAGGATATTCTTACTAAAATTGTTTAAATTCAATATAATAAATTTTTGAGTAAAAAAACTGAATATATCTGTAAATATAGGTCTTAATTATATAAATTATAATGTTAATTTAAATATCACATATGTTTTAATATACTATAATTCAAATGAAATATTATAAATAAAAAAATGAAGTAAGTAAATTTGATATAATTAAACAATACATGTAACATCAAATACAGATAAAAAGCTCGATAAAATGTAATTTGTCATTTATATAATATGAAATTTTGATATTTATTAAATTATACACATATTATACAAAATTCTTTAATTTGAAATGTTTGTGGTAATGTTTTAAAAATTGAATTAAATGCATACATATTCGTAGAATAAAATACTCATAATACAGTGCAACAAGTAAAGTTTTTAAAAGAAAAAATTAATTTTTTCTAAGTTTTATTAAACCAACTGAAGAATATAAAAGTTATTAGAAACATGTCATTGTGAACATGTACTTTTTTTTATTATGTAAAATTTAATAATGAGACAGAATAGAAATAAAAATAAATAAAGTAACCTCAAAAAAGTAAACATTAATGTAAGAAAACAGTTGAACAATCAATTTTTATTTTAAATGATTAATTTTTCTTGTAAATAGTTTTATTGGATATACATACTTAGCAACGAATTCAAATATATAAATTAAGGATAATTTAATCTCCTTTAAGAGAAATTACGCATCATACACGGAAAATATTTAACTTTATTCGAGATATTTTGGGTATGCGCAGAATTATCGTATTTCTATTGGTTTGTTAATGCCATTCCGAAGATTCTAAAAGTACGTATAAATATGGTTACATAACTTAATTATTTTGTAGCAAAGGCATTTACATATTTTGTTTGATAATTGAAATATTTTTTGATTTCTTAATTCGTAATAAAAACTTTTATGTCAATAAATACTAAACAATAGCAATTAATCAATGAAAAATTTACGTGAATATATTTATTTATGCGTTTATTTTTAAAATATAAAGTGCATATTAAAGTAGAATGATAATATATCTTTTTGAGGTATATATATGCATGCAACATACATACATCAAGGTAGACCTTGAAGCACGGCGAAGGGCGGGAGGGAGAGAAGAGATACAAATAAAACAGTGCCAGTAAATATTTTGTCGGGTATTAAGATATTAAAATATTACTAATCTTTCAATTTCAATCATTTTTAATATAAAATGCGAATAATTTTTGTTAATATTATTCCTTTATTAAAAAAAAATAATTTTCACATTTCTGATAAAAATAACAAAATAAAATAAAAATAATCAAACACAAAGAAAAACAACTTCAAACAAAATTAATTTTTTAAATTATTACATGAGTGCGAGTGTGTGCGCGCGCGCGCGCGCGTGTGCATATGTGCACACATACGCATACAAACAGTATGGCATTGGTAAAGAGTTTACAATATATAATATTCTAAATTTCGAATATTTGGAATAATAAATTGAATTTTCAGTTTGACAGTACATTAAATTGTCACACGCGGAAAAAGTTTCTGCAATTGTTAAAGAACTAGTGACGTTTGTAATTTACTATGAGTTTAATGTCTTGAACAGTAAGAACCGATGGGAAATTAATATTAAAGATCACTAAGTATGGCAAAATATGTCTCAAAAATTAGGAATTCTTAAAATCCATTTATGAAGAATAATTTGGTAAGGCACATTTTAAACATTTTAAAGGATAAAACAATGAAATACGATCAAATTCTGTTATTTTGGAGAGAAATCTAAAAAATTTAGTGAAACTTTACTTGCTGCATTTAGAAAATGCAAACATTTTTTATTTAAAGTAACTATTAGAAATAGAATGCTTAACTGTCAATAAATAAGCTAGAACAGTGTGTATTGAATGAATAGAAAAGTAAACGCGAATTTAATGTCAATTAATTTATAATTAATGTATTAATAAATTAATTAATAAATTCTGAGATGGAGAAGGCTCCGAGAGAGAAGAGATTATCGCGATTGTTACGATAGTGGCAGTGAAGGCTCACCCAACTACAATATATATGATGTTATATATGGATAATTCATAGGTGATTGTCGAATGTTAGCCATTCAGTATTGACATGGCTATCTTTTTTGTTTCATTTATATCGAAAAGCACCAGCCTTTTCATTTTCATTTTTTTAACATTTTCTCATACATTATTATATTGAGCCTGTATCGATTCTTCACTTGAACGTGATATAAGAAATCGTTCTTAAGCATATAATAAATTAATATATATATATATATATATATATATATATATTTAAGGTATCAACTATTGTTATGATCTAATTAGACAAATGAAGCAATTACATAATACAAAATTTAGTCGATTATAACTACCGCGTATAATTTAATTATGGGCATATTTAATCGACATTTATTATATACTCTTGTAAGAAATATTATATCCATTACTAATACAAAATTTTCTATTTCCTTAGATTCATCAAATAATTTTATATATTGATATAAATATATCGATGTTGTTTTATAAATATATTAATATGAATAATAAAAGCATAGGTTAGATATAGTTTTTAAAAGAAAATGACTTGGATAATTAATTATTAAAATTAATCAATTACATTTTCAAATGTTGTATTATGTATTATGAAAGAATTGAAACGACAAGTATTTATGAACTTGTCCCTATAAATCATTATCAAAATGTATTCAAAATTAACAAAATGAAAATGAAAATAAAATATTAAGTAGAATGTATAATTAAATATTTTTATTTTATATGTGACCCCTACTCTTAAAAGACGGTTGATTTTATTTTCGACATTCTAAAACATTTGATTTATTATAATTGGCCTCTGCATTCTACCTCCCGCCCACTCAGTCGATACTTCTCTCTTGTAATATTCCACTATTTTTTTATATTACTCATCATTTTCATTTATTTTAATATTTGAGAATTCGATAAATTAATATTAATACAAAAATAAAAATTTTAGTATAACTTTCTAATAATGCATTTCCATGTAAATATTTATATTTATTATATTTATATATATTTTTATTTATTTATATTTCAGATATTTCAGATGCAACATTGTATATAATAGAGGAAAAACAATATGACCATCTTTTGATAGTAGAAAGAAAAAGTAAAAACGTTTATAAATAATAGATGAACAAAGAAAAGTGACGGCTAGTTTAAGAAGAGCCTAGGGTTTACTGTTCTATGAGATTATCAATTTATTTGTGAGTTAAGAAGAGCGGGTCAAAATATAAGGCGATATTGTGTTGAGAATTATAGAATTTGGTCCAGTGTAAATAAGAATATAAGAAAACGACATATTAGAGATTTTTTCGATAAACAATAACTATGGAACACGATATATTGTAAATAGTTGAACTGAATATTTAAGTATATTTTTTTTCAGTATTTTTATAATTATATATATGATCCAAAGAAATGTATATAGATTATTATTTATTATAAATAAAAATATTGGAACCTCTGCAAGTACTAGCAAACGTAATATGAATTTCAGCGATTCGTTTTATACCGGAGGAATTGGAAATACGTTAAAAATTAAGTAAAAGATGCATTTTCTTCGAAAGAACCGAGGAAAAGTTTGAAGTACTAAATCCAGTGTATACAATTTTTATTTTAATGTAAATTATAGATTATTAAATAAAAATTTTGATCTAATTCTAAAGATGCATATTTAATCATATAGTGTATTTTTAAAATTACATTAAGTTCAATCAACTTGCATTTTTAATCATTGTATAAAATTGTTTATTTGATCTCATAATGTTTTCTTGAAACTTTACAATGTATATTACAACAGAAATATAATTATATAATGGTTATAATAAAACAATATTAAGTGTGTCGAATATAAACCGGAAATGTTAATATTGACGAAGAATTAATTTTTATATTAATTTTAAATACAATTTAATTTGAAATAATTTCGCTGCCATATTGAAATAGCAATCAAATTTGTCTTCTTTTTTTTTTTTTTTATTAAATTTTGAAAATATATATTCTTTATTTGAGTTCACCTGAATATTTTATTTTCTAATCTTTTATTCAGCTCCTTCAGCTATCGACTATTCAGTACTTGTTAATGAAAGCTTCTTCAGATCTTTCCAACACTTTTGATAGTCGCTGTCGAGTTTGTTGGAGTGATTCAGAGCCCAGTCACTTATCGATAAACTATAATACGTTTCGAACATGAAAGCCAGGGTACCCTCAGCAATACGTTCCGCGCGCAGTTCATGACTCGTGGCCACGTCGAAACAACGTGAGTCTGGACCATGAGGTGTCATTATTGAATGTAAACTTGCACCACCCGGTTTGAAACCTTCTTCCTTCGCCTCGTAGTGACCCTTTATGAGACCCATAAACTCACTCATGCAGTTTCCTGAAAAGGTGTTTGTATGATTTTTGTCTTCGGTTAGGACATTACTTTTTATTTCTTTTAATGAAATTTATTGCTTTGTTCTTAAATTTCTTAACGTTATTGTTATAATAGCTTAATAAATTAATTCAATTCAATAATAATGTATAAAATATGGATTAGATTTATTAGTTGTCCATATATTACAAATATATTAAAATTCTCTATAACGATTATAATTATTTTAAACATTATTATATATTTTGAAGTGACACTAATAAAAGAATTTATAATTTCATAAAAAAAAATTGGATGAAAAGGTCTTGAAATTTATATTTTGAGTATTCTTATAAATAATAATATCGAATTATAAGTAAGGCGTAGTGAGTAAAAGTATAAATGATTATAAAAGAGAGTAGGTGCATGGGTATACGTGCGAACGCACGTGTGAAGCAGCGTAGGCGGGTGAGTCCGTTTGTGAGTGATCCAAGTCCCGTTGTGGGCACCTGCAGATTCCCGCTTATAAAGTCAATATATGTAAAAAGTTGCGTATATTATATAAAATAATTTAATAATAAATTGTTGTACTCATCGACGGTGTCTTATATTTTTTAAAGTCTTTCATATTACCTCCATATATACAATAAAACTATTATATAAAAGAAAATAAATTAACATTAGTAACTAATGGACTAATAGTGTAACTTTATATTGAATATATCAAAAAATTTTAACGAGTATATAACATAATATAATTTATTTCGATGATTTAAGGAATATAATTAACAATGATTTTTATATTAAACATTACAATACTCTAACAAACATGTTTAAAATTTTAATTATAATATTATTTGTAAGACATGGATTAAATTAGTTTGAAATATATGATTTGATAATGAAAATCTTTGATTAATGTATGTATTAACAAAATATTATTTTTTAAATAATATTATTGATACATAGAAGTACTTAGTATCAGCATGAAAACTATAATTATGCAGTTATACCATAATACAATTGGAATTTTTAGATAAAAAAGCACAATGAATTATTAACATAATATGTTGAACTTATGAAAATAGTTTTAAAATATTCACTATATTATCAATAATTTTTTAAGCCGTATATTTTGATTTCAAATAATTATTTGTGTAAATAATAAAAAGTACATAGTGATATTTAGTAATTATGAAATAATTTATTGTTGTATATTTAACTGAGAATATTCTTTTTGGAAATATAAATGTTCAATGATTAAATAAATAAATTTGTATCATAATAAAATATCAACATTACTAATCAATTTTCTATTAATTTCATCTTTGTATCATTTAAAAAAATTATAGTAAATTTATTAATCACTATTTTAAAAATTTTTTATTTAATAATTCAATGAAGAAATAATAAATTAATTAAAAAATTTTATACAATTTATAAATAATCAACTATAATGTTTTATAATAAATGATGATATTTATTATTTCTTGAAATTTTTGTATACATTCTTATGTTTGAAGAACTAATAAACTTTGAGTTGAAATTTTAGTATTTTATAAGTTTTATGTTATACATCTTATCATTTATGGTTTCGACAATAATTAAAATTTTTAATGAATATATATGGTGCATAGAAAATTTTTTATTTCTTTAATTTGCATAATAAAAATAAACGTTGATAAAAGATTCTAGTTCTTTCTTACAATTTATCGTCGAATTAATTTTTATATATTTTTTATAGAGTATAAAGCATTAGAAAGATATTTTGGTTTGGTTAATTTTTATTTTACAATTGAATGTTTTATTGGTATTTTAAAATTTTGTTAAAATGGATTTACAAGTATATTTTATTTTTAAATGGGATTGTTATAGATAATTACCATATTGTCATATCTAAATATATAAGTTTTTTTTAGGAATTATTATAGATGCGAATATCTTATGATATTTTGATCCTTGAAAATTATGTATATTTTATATATAAAATATTTATACATTTTATACTGTTAAATTTTAAATTTTATATACAGATGTTTTATTGACTAATGTAATGAAGTCTTAAAAATTCGATTAGGCTTTAATATTTTTACATTTTGTTATTGTATTATAACTCAACAACTTTAATATTATTATGCATACATTTTTGATATCAAGTAATACTACTTACTATGATAATAAGGTGGACGAAAAGTATGTTCTTGAACAGACCACCGTGGAGGAAAGATGACGAAGTCTGCCACAGCAGTTCCTGGTTTATTCGATGGGCAAGTTAAAACAGTAAATATTGAAGGATCCTGTAATATAATAAGCCTAATAGATATATTTTTTATATATAATGTATATAATAACATTTATGTTCATGAATTATTTAAATATAATTACTTTTAAATATATATCGTTTTTGCTCCTTTTTATAATGCAAATTAAACAAATATAAATTTGGATTTAATAATAATAATAAAACTATTGAATTGATATATCGAAACTTATTGAAATATTTTAGAAGAAATATTTTATTATAACATTAGTAATTTTTTAAAATTTATACTAATACAATGATTTATTTAAATGTCAACTAACACAATGATCAAAAGAAACTGAGTTGATAACCATAAAATAATCAAGATTGTACTTGTAAGGTACATAATTGCCATGCCATGCCACCACATCGAAGGGACTGTGACCTTTTTTTGCCATGAATAATTTTGCTTGATATTTATTGATTATCTTATACGGTACATCTTTATCTTCATAATGAGCTGTTGGTGTCTTGAAATCTCTTGGGTTTGCTAAGCCATTTGCACCTGATAGTAAAAGAAGTTAGAAATTTATGTAATCGACAAGTATTATATATTTCACAAATTTATATATATTCAATGAAGAGAAATTGTTTAATTACATAAATTTTTTAAAGATGTAATACTTATGAAATAATAACATCTTGATAATTAAATATTATTGAAATAATGAGAAAGTAATTGAACGAATAGGAATAAATATAGAAAGATTTTAATATTCTGCATCTCATTTAAAAAACCATTATCATTTTATTAGTATTATTTATTTTTTATAAAAAGACTTTTGTTTAAAATAATGTTACTAAATGAAATTTTTCGATGTACTCGATATGCAAATATACTACTAGTCTATTATTTGTTCCATTTCTTTTAGAAAACGAAATAAAAATAATCGAGAGAAATTTATGATAATTTAAAGCAACTTTTTGTTTCAATTAAAATAAATTTTTCAATTAAAAGTAGTTTCAATTTTAATATTAATTTAATATTTAACATGAGACAGCACGATAAAAATAATTTTAAATATAGTTTTAGTTTGGGTTATTGTGCTGAATTAAATATAGTTTAAATTACAATATCATAACTAGATTATTAGATACAAAGAAAAAATAAATATACGAGTAATTTTATTGTATATTAATATTGTATATTAATCCCTTTTATTAATTCATTATTAGTATGATCTTTGAAAGGATAGATGCATTCATCTTTTTAAAATCATGTATACTAAATATTATAAGTCAAATAGAATATATAAATATAATATAAATCGAAATATGGGAGTATATTTGTAAAAATAATAATTAAATAATCATAATATAACATAGTATATTTGAATTACTATTATTATGAAAACTATTATTTACAATTATTTATTGTATCTAAAACTATTTATTACAAATAATTTTTAAAAATATTTATGTCATAATTAATTGAAAAATAAAATAAAATAGAATAAATCAATTATTTCATTTATTCAACTATTCAATTGAAAAGACATGATTAAGTTTTTCATATTATTATATAAATTAATAAATTATACAATTATTAATTATTATTTAAATAATAATCTTTAATACAAACTGAAACTATGAAATTCGCTTTAATTTTAAAATAAATAAAATATTAACAATGTATTAAAGTTTTATCATATCTTAATTTTATCATCAATCTTAAAAAGTAATTTAAATAAGTTAATAATTATATTATAAAAGTAGTCACCAATTGGTCCTAAATTTGGCAATTGAAAGTGATTATCGAAAACTTCTAAAATATATCCTCTCGATGGTCCGTAAACAATAATCGAAAATTTCATTCCCCGTTGAAGTACGCAGATCTCATTTGGTTCAACTCGCATTTTACCGAATTCTGTTGTAATTTGTAATGGCCCCAACTGTGGTACTTTAATTATGTACAAAAAAGATTTATATAAAATTAAATTTTTAAATTAAATAAAAAGGTATTATTTTATTTATAGATATTTTTCAATGAATTTTTGAACAGTACCTACAATATTTGAATGGTTTAATCTTATAGTTACAATATATAATATGTTTTGTATTTATAATAATTTTGAACTATTGTAAGATTTGAAAAAAATAATATTAAATATAATCCATATACCTTGATATTAACGTGAGATATAAACATTTATTTTTCAGAGTTCACAGATTTGTCATTTTTTGAACTCTGCAATCTTTATTCATTTTTGATAATTATAATAATGTTAATTATTTCATATCTTTTATAATTATTCCATGTATGTTGCTACACATGTATCGATGTTATATGTCATTTGCAAGAGTTACTATATACTGCCACGAAATTTCTTTTTTTTATTTTTCTTACTAATCAATCGTCGAAGTATTTATTTTAACAATTTTTCTATCACAATACTTTTATTCTAAGTGCATCACTTACTCTTCTGTCTTTTTAACTACATGTTTTTATATTCATTATTATTTTCAATTTTCTTTTGTATATATACCCATGCGCATGTATACACACATACACATATGCATGTATGCAAACACAATCAAATACGCAAGCATACGACATTTTATATGAAAAATATTAGCACGAAAATATTTACAATAAAAAATGAAGGCATTTGCTTACGATTATGCTTAATATATTCGAAAGTATGTTGAACCCAAAATTTATGCTTTGAACGCTTAGACGATTATAATTAATACGTGAAAATTGTTCGCACTCTCATTCAATTACAATCACATTTATTCTTTGTCCATCTCAAATAAACATAATATCCTATAGTACCTGCATAAACTCACTAATAAGAAAGTCACCGTCGGAGTTGTAAAAGGCTTTATCTTTCATGGATGCATTACAAAGGTAAATATGAATGGCCAGTCCTGTACGGATACGAGGATCTCCAGCGCCACAAATCGTATGTAGGCCTTCGACGAAATCCACTTCCGGCTCCTGACGAGTTGGCACATCAAATGGTTTCCAGCGTAACTAATTTTTGTATGTTTATTAATCTGCATTAATTATAGTAACACGTCTAATTCAGGTTAGTGTAAATAAAGCATGGATGAAATATTAATAGCTAATATGAAATCTGTGAAAAATTTGATTTTTATATTTCGAGATAAGCTCTTTGTTTTTATAATAAATGTCTGATGTTACATAGTAGTCAATTAGCAAAATGAAAACTCATGAAGCATTGCTTTTATAAAGGGAAATATTTTATTGTAATGTAAAAGCTATATTGTATTAATAATAAGGTATTGTACAATTGCTTATGTAAAAGGATAAATTTATAGGATTTAAATAATTTAATTAAATAATTTAATAATAATATATAATCTTACTTGGTTTGGATTGGGTGGAATTTTATCCCAATCATAGCATAAATGTACTGCTGTATTATTCATGGGCTTGAATACGTCATGGATTACCGATGGTCTGATCCGGTAGAACCAAGTTCTTTTATTTTCAGAACGAGGTACTGTTTTGCATAAAAGTAAAATTTGTATATTTCTACACTTCTTAATATTGTTCTATTTTTTAAATTATATATTGATATTATATTTTTATGAGTAATGTATTAGCTTAACTATAAAAGTATTTAATAAAGTACATCTTGTTCAACATTTTTTTGAATCACAAAGTAACAGAATTTTAATATTACAAAAAATGAAAAACAAAATTATTCTGTTCAGATATATATTATTATATAAAATAAATTATATGATGAAATCAAATATATTTTGAATTAAGACCTATTTTTTTTGGTATGTGCTTATTACGATAATATAATTTTTTCTTTCAAGTAAAATATAAAGCATATCATTTCTATTATTATAATAGTCAAACTTACTTTTCTTTAATTAATAATTATATAATTTTTGCCATGATTATCAAGTTATTTATTATTTTCCGTCAAAATGAATAATTACGAATGCATCTATAATTTTATCATATCTTAATATCATATCATAAAATATTATTTAATTTTTTTAAATATTATTTAATAATTGGAAATAATTCATTTACTAATTAACTTTTTTTATATTCCTATTAATCCAGTTATATATATATATATATATATATATATATATATATATATGTGTAATTTTGCAATAGAAACTACTATTGATTTTTTCAGCAATGATAAAATTATATTATATGGTATGCGTTTGTATATATATTGTAAAGCGATATATCATAATTATTATCTATATGATATTACATTTCTTTTAATTACACTTTACTTGTGTATAATCTAAATTAAAATGAAGAATTTAATGGTGATATTTCGTAAAATATATTGTAAAATGAACATTATCTCATTATGTCGAGTCAAGGTAGCATATATATTATTATATTCGTCGAATTTTATTGTACTACGATATTTGAAATCTATAATATATGATAGTAAAATTTTTATCCCGATTAAAAAGTAAATGTTTATATTTGTAATATAAATGTAATAAAATAATTAATAATTTAAAAACTGAACGAAAAACTTTTATTGGTAATTAATTTTAAAAAGTGGAGTAATTATGTATAATAGAACATATGTATAATAGATCACATAGATATTTTTGAAACTAATGTGAGAAAACATATTATTGAATCTGCGGAATTTAAAAATGAAGTGTCATATCTCTTTATATCTATAATTATATATATTTCAGTCCGAATAAGTACGAAAAAGTATATGAATATTATCAGCCGTATTTAATCAGAGCTGTAAAAATAATTTATTTGAATTTGTACATTTTTATCGAGTCGCAAAATAATAGTTTTCTTTATCAGGCTTAACATAAAATGTAACAATAAATTATCATTAATCTAATTTGTTACTAGAGTATTTTTTTGCGCTATTACAATGTAATAAATTCTATAAGAAATTTATTAAAAGATTAGTAAAAATGAATTTATTTTCTACAATATACAAGACAATATTTAAAAGTACAGTGTAATAAAAATTTTTTTTAAATACATTATTTTAAGTTTATAATAAGGACATTAATATTATCAGTTATTTTCGAATAACATTTATATAACACAATAATAGCACAAAATAATATTTTTAAATAGAAAGAAGCGAGGAACATAATGAAGATTGATGAGAACTTTGGAATATACCTGTGAATGCTGTTCCTGATAATTGTTCTGCGTAAAGGCCATTGTAACATTTTTGTGGATTATTTTGACCAACTGGCAGAGCACCAAGACATCGTTCATCTTCACTACTGAACTCGTTATCAAATCCTGTCAGATACTAAAAAATAAGTTAATTTGGAGTCGTAATTATTGTAATATTAATTTTGTAAATGGAAAACTTAGAACAATGTAGTGATTATTCAATTCGTTTTCTTTGAAATATTCTACTATATTATATATCAATCCATTAAATTTACTCAACAATTATGAAAAATAATTTATGAAAAAAATAACAAAAAAGTTGAATATGTAGATAATATATAATATATACTTAAAGTTATCAGATAAATTTGCCGAAATACTTTAACGTCGAATATTGTAATACGTAAATTATTACACGATTGAATTCCTAAATGATACTAAAGCTTACATAAAACGCTTCGTTAAATTTCATATATGCAGTAGATAATGTTTCAAATATTATTTATTTATTTAAAGCATTATTTTGTTTACGAAAATTATAAGTACATGAATATATCAATAGATACTGAATGATCGTTTTTGAAATCGTTCTTATGAATCAATGCAATTTCTTCCCCTAGGGAACATGATTTTTCAATATTTATAATTAAAAGATAAATAATTCCACTTATTAAAACAAATCTTTATTTTTAACATACCTTAAGATCGTCCCTCATCTCACTCAGTTAGTTTGTTTGAAAATATAAACTTAGTCACGGAATGCAGCCGGTTTTATAAGCGCAGACGATTGGAATTATGTAAAAGATGTTTATGGCTCTTAATGGTAAAGCGAGTTCTTGACTACGATTTCGTAGGCACTACTGGTTTACATGAAAATTATCATGCAGATAGTTAATATATCTCATATCTTCTTCCTTTTTTAAAATAATCTGTCGTGGAAGCGATTTATAAGCGAAAGAAGCTGGAAATGCAAAAATGCGTGTATTATAATGAGCAGAGAACTATTTCTGTATTCATATAAGATAAGGAATCTAAATAATTGCATATAGGTAACTAACATTCCATAATAATATTTTCAATATTTAAGGAGTAATAGCCGTAAAGTCATAATGTAAATGAATAATAGAAGCAAAATATCTAGTACAAACGTAAAAGGTTTAACAAAAGTAATTCTAAAAAAAAGCTTCACTGTTTGTGATTTTAATTATAATAAAGTATAAATTTTTGAGTTTCAAAATGTTATGAGACAAGATGTACTTTATTGTTGGTAGTGTATATTAAAATGTTTATTCTCAACTTAAAAATATTAGTTATCTAAGAAAGTTAATCTGAAATAAAATGCAAATATTAAAAATACTTATAAAAATAAAATTATCTTGTCCCGCGATTATAGGGCAAACATTATAATGGTAAAATCAATAATATGACTTATTGTTTTCTTGTAAAATTTTCTGAAGCAATTGTTATGTGCATTGAGTTAATTAATTGTAGCACAAAACTTATTTGAAGTCCAGAACTTTTGTACAGAAAAGTTAACTTTCATTATTCTTTCTGAATAACTGTTAATTAAAAATATTGATAAAGAAAATTTTGATAACAGGTGTTTAGTTTAATAGATTTTCTTTTATATTTTCCTAAAAGCGTTTTTCATATTTTTAAGAAAATGGAATTCCAAATAATTTTTATTCCTTCTACATTTGGAAATAATGTGTATTTTCGTATTGTACGCCATCTTCCGGATAAATGAAGAACAGTTTAGAAAACATCTGTACCAATGAGTTTGATAATGAAGATAATTTATGAATGCGAATTAATCCAACCAAATAAATAAAAGAAACTTGAAGGATTTTATGCTGGGTAATAAAGAATTACCTCAAATTAAGAAATAATGAGAAAATTCAGTATATCATTCCAATATGTATTTTCAAAAAATTGTATTCAATTACTAATTTTATATTATTTGAAAATTTCTTCATATTCAATAATAGTAAATTGATAATTAAAAAATATTATAAAAAATTAAAAAGTGTTTATATTTATGAATAAGATTTTAACTTCATCTAATTAAGATACAGTATTATTTCTAAAACAAAAATCCTATACAATGATATATTATGTAATGTTCTAATAAAACATTTTTAGTTTTTTTGATAATATATTTTTATTTACTCAAAGTACAAATGTTAATTAATTATTTGAGATTCATTTATAGGTAACGTATATTCTATTCTATAAAATTACATTCTAATTTTTTATTCTTTATCATAAATATACACAAATTAACTTAAATTAACGTGCACTTGTAATAAAATATATTATATTCTGTAATAAAATTAAGAAAAAAATAATATAAATAAATTTACTCATAACCACTTAATAAATATTTATACCATTTGGAAGTCGAAGATAATTATAAATTTTTTTTAATTCTTTTTGATATAAAATATTTATTTTATTTTCAAATTCATTACTTGGATTTACATATTCTCATTAATTTTGTAACAAGGTTGTTATGTTAAATAAATATCATAAACTTATCGAATGATAAAGAATAAAATTAGTTATCGATTATTCGTACATTAAAATGATATTTACATGAGATATATGGCTGAGACATGTTTTCTAGGATAATTTTATACAAAATTTTACTTTTACAAACAAAATAGATTTTTTATTTATTTGACTGTAATTATGTTGTAACCTATGTAACCTTTTTTTAAAAATAATTTATATTAATTAATAATTATTAATATTTCCTAATATTATGTTAATAATGTGAATTAAGCTTATTATACAGTAAATTTACTTCAATCAATTATTCTCAAAACAAATTATTTGCTATAGAAAGTAATAAATATAATATTAAGATATATATTATTTTTTTTTACATTTGCCAAACAGTGAAGTAATAATACTTTCGAGTTAGGCATAATTATGTCAAATCATAATTGTAGTCATTTTTAATAGTTGTGCTTTTAGATCCATGACCTCCATTTAATATTTTTTAACTGCATGAATATTTATTATACCTCTTGGTAATTCTTTGCTTTAATTCTTAGTCAAATGTAGAAAGTTGAGCAAACATTTATTAAATATTTCGAAATATAAATTTTATAATGAGTAGCCTATATTGTTCAACTTTTTACGAAAATTGTTCCTGAAAAGAAGTAAATCTTATCCTTGGTATAAATTTGAGAAATAATAAGAAATGAGAAATTATTTTTAACTGTAATTAATATTTAAATAGAATTATCTATCTGAATTTATTATTTTCTTTTTTACGGAGACTTAGTTCTTTTCTACTTATGAAATGGTTATGTTAATTTTGTATTATATGAATTTAGTAGAAAATGTTAAAAGTAAGTGCAGAAACGAAAATATAATTTAACAAAAAATTTTAAGGTATTTTTTATTAGATATCGAATAATTAAATACAGATATTGAAATTTCATTTGTAATTATTTTATAAATTTTATAATTATTATACATTTTCATTCAAAGTCAAAGGTTTATTACGAAATTTTTAAATAATATAATATTCATATAATTTATGTTATTTATATATATAAATTTAAACAGCAATTGCCAGTTATTGAATTATATTATGATGTAAATAAATTAGAAAATTTGGTTACACTTTATGAAATACTGACAATGGATTACCTAAAGAAAGTGCAATAAATAATCATTTTCTTTATAAAGTCAAAGTTTAAGCCATAATATTTTATATCGATTCGTTAATAATCTGTTTAAATAATATAACTTTACGATACTTGGATGTTTCAATTAGACATATGTTATTACATTATTATAAAAAATTAAGATTTATTCTTTAATTGACAATTCAATTGTAATGAGGTTCTAGTGCTATTTAACATAATAATTTTAAATCAACAACAAATTAACTAAACAATATTAAAGTATTGAATAATCATATATGTAATATTAATTAAAATATTACATGATTATGATATACTTTATATATATTCTTTATTAAAGCAGAAATAGAAAATATATAATATTGAATGTTAAGGTAAATATAATCTTCACTACAAAAAGTAATAGATAAACGATTTGATAGGATTGAATATTTATAGAACTTTTATTATGAAATTAAAAAAAAAAAAAAAAAAAAAAAAAAAATAATCAAACTGAATCAATGTTAAACAAAGAACTATAATATATAAAGTATATAGCGATTTTACTTTAAGATAAATTATCATGGAAACAAATCGCATTTCACTCACTTTCTTTCACTCATATTCACTCTCCTCTCCCTCTTTCTTTCTTATTCTATCTCGTGTGTACCGCATATTTATCAATAATTTAAGATTCTAAGATATCATGAAACAATATAATAATATAGAGTATATTGATTTTATAATTAATTTGTTTGATTCCAATCAGAAAAACGAGTAATGCCAGTATTCATTCATTATACTATTATTGACATTATATAATTTTTATATCAATAATATATAATTTATGATAAAAAGAAATAAAGTAATATAATTTTATTCAAGTACAATAAAAAGGTTTAAATTTACATTTAAATATTGATGAAATATTAAATTACTTAAATAATTAAACAAGCAATTAGATTAATTGCTGTGATCTCATATTTCAGTATATTCGGTTTCATTTGAATGGAACGAAAGATAAGTAAATATCGACACAATTGAAGAATGACAGAAATTAGTTTTATAAACACATAAAATATATGTTTCTAAATATTTGGATACAATTACGCATCTTGATATAAATGAAAAAAATTTATATTAATATTTATGTTTCGTTTCATATTTGAACTGAAAAGGTGTTGTCCTTACAAGTTTTCATATGCAAACGAAAAGTGCTTGTTATATTATTGATTCATTTGAGAGATATATTTGTATAAATTAGAAATCTTCATTGATATATGAAAGCCATAAGAACCTGTTATCACAAACTTTCTGGTGGCGAGGGAACTGTTTATAAAGCACTAATAAGATAATATCTATATAAAGATAATTTATCTTATCGTAGCCGTAGAAACTAAAACTGAAATTCTAATCTTTAAAATAATATATGTATATGTTATTATTATTATTTTTTAAAATATTAAACGAAAAAGCAAAAAAGAATAAATTGTATCAATAGAGTATTTTATAATTTTATGAATACTATGAAAAATATACATATATATGTATTTCTTTTTATATATATTTTATATGTTATATAAAATCAATATTATTGGCAATATTGATACAACTATATGGTGTACGTTTAGAAAGTGTTCATAATTACACACAACATACGGATAACAATGTTAGTAAATGTTACAGAGAAAAATGTAATAAATAAGTATAATATAATAATTGTTGTTATTTCGTTTTTATAGGCTGAAAACAGATAATAATATAAAATTATAATATAAAATAGATAATAATATAAAATAATTTTGAATAGCGCTTTGGGATATTCTATCGTACCAGATATGAATATATCCATACCTTACCATATGAATTATATATGGTTATGCTGTAAAAAGAAAATTGATATTTAATGTTTAAAAATTTTGTAAAAACTATTAATACTGTGCGTAGTTTCATTAAAGTTATGATTTATATAATATGGTGAAAATCATATTAATATTTAATATTTATATTATCGAAATTAGATTGAAAATTTAATTATCGAACAATGATAAGAAAAAATAATATTTATCTATACATCGCGTAATTTGCTATTTTTTTAATTAGGTGTGTAAATACACAGTAAA